CCGGGGGCGGCTGGGTGGGCCCGTGCGTCTCTGCAAGGTTGCTTGCACCTGGCCGAGCCATTCAGACAGGGCAGGCTCCAGCTCAGACACCAGCAGCGCGAGGAGCCTCTCCTGCCTCTGAATGCGCCGGCCTGCCAAGCCACGGGACACCGTCACCCCTTGCCATCCCCTTCCCCACCACCCCCAGTAGCTTCGGCTGCCCCTTTGCTGTGGGACTGCTTGCAACGCTGGGGCTGGCGGGGGGTCCTGGGCCGCAGGGCGCCCCGTGCTTGCTGGGTGGCGGATGTGTGAGTGGTGCCGTGTGCCAGTGCAGGAGGCGGCTGCCCGGCTGCAGCTCTCGGGACGCCGCCGCGGAGCGAATGGAGAGGCCAGATAATGAGGTGACCCCGGCAGTATCACTTTCATCCTCTCCCTGCCCCGTGTGATCGCGGTGCTCGGGGCTGTGATTGGCAGCTCAGAGTGCTGCGCGTAAGCAGATTAGGACCATCAAACGGCTCAGCGATAAGCTCGTTTTCACTAATGATTTCTGGGTTCGCTGTTATGCAAAGAGCATTAAAAAGAGGGGGAAGAGACTTTCTACTCAGGCCGTCTGCCCGGGATTTTGTGACCGTGCTGGGTGGGGAAAGGGCAGAGCAGAGCAACTCTGCTCCTGAGGAGGATGACTGTCTCTTCCAGGGAAGTGCGGGCACCCTGTTTTCCCTCCCTCCATTAGCATAGCGATTGCCAGAGCCCCGCTGACCTCTTCTGCACAGGCTCAGGATAACAACACCTTAGTTTGGGTGCAATAGATTGGACCTGAAAAAACTGAGTGCGGCTTGGATCAAGCTACTATGAATATTTGACCGTGGGGGATGTCCTCCATGTTCCCGAGTGGCTCCTAACCCTTGTTCCCAGTGGCGCTGGGCAGCACTCTCCATCACCAGCAAAGGCTTGGGCCTTTCCTCGCTCGCCCACGTTAACAGCAAGAAACAGGAGCTGTCTCTGGGAGAGCCCCAGCATTGGCACCATGTCAGTGGCTGAGCCATGAGCATGATCCGAGGCGGCTTCGCACTGGAGGTAGCAGGGTCACCTGGCTCCATAGGTGCAGATGGAGATTGCGCCCGTGGTGTGGACAGTGCAGGTCTCCTTCAGGAGACACCCTGGTGCATCCTGTCTGTATGTGCCGGTAGGGAGGCTTTCTGCCCACCCGAAGGAGAGGAAGGCGCGAGGCATCGTTCGCACGGCCAGGTGGGCATTGCCCTGCTGTTGCCTGCTGGGCTTTCCCAGCAGCGCCCCCTCCGCCCCACTGTCCGGAGGACTCTGCAGGGCCTCGCCGCCCGCCGTCGCAGAATGGGGTCAGCCCAGCCCGGGGAGAAGCTCATTAGGAGACCAGTTCAAGTGATCGTTCGGGTCCATTAGAGAGGAGGCAGAACAGGCCAGTGCAGCCACCGAGCTTTCAAGGTGCTTCCTGCTGCATGGCAGGTGGGTGCAGGAAGCGCCCCTAAGGCCCCTCTCCCCAAAACGCATCTCCTCCCCTGCCACAGTTGAACCGCGCCTCCGTCGCCCGGCTGCCCAGGGCGCCCCCAGCGCAGGGAGCGGTGACCAGGACATGCAGCCATCGCGCTGGCCCCGCACAGACCAGAGCAGCGTGAGCCGGCACGGCGCTCCGGCGCAATGACGCCGGGGGCTGCAGCCCAGGCCCACGGGCGAGCAAGTAGCCTGCAGCCAGCCGAGCCTCGTGGTGTGTGGCGGCGTGTGTGCCTGCGGGTGTGTGTGCATGTGTGCCTGGCCTGGCCTGCCCGGAGCACGGGTGGGGGGACATTTCCATGCCATGCCCATTTTCAGTTGGTCCTGCTCACGTGTCCAAGGTCTGTTTTGTTTCCTTTAAGCTTGTTTTGCACGCTGCCCGCGGGACTCTTACCCAGCCAGCCGCCGGGGTGGAAGGGGCCCCGAGACGCCTGCCAGGCAGCCCCCTGGACCAAGCGCTGTGCAGCTCAGGTGTCTGGCCAAAGCAGGCTGTCCTGCCAGGCTGCGCCGAGGGCAGGGCTCCCCCCAGCCCTGTGGCACCCCTCTGCACGCTGCCGTCTCCCTTCTCCCTCTCCTGCAGCCACTCTTCTCCCCCTACCCCCGGCCCTAACTGGGGAAGACGCAGGTGCTCTGTCAGACCCGGGCTGCTCCTTCTCTGCCTCTGCCCTGCTGGCTTCCTCTCTCTCCTCCACCTCTGATGGGCCCCGTCCCTCCCCGGCCGCTCCGTGCCCGCAGCCCCACTGCCAAAATCTTCTTGCAGCCTGTGGCTCTGGCAGCCACGGGGCCACGGCGGAGGCTGTGCCCCAGCTGAGATCCGTGGAGCCTCTGCCAGTGGGTGCAATGGAGACGGCTCCACCCGGGCTGCCCTGCGTCCACTTCCCAGCCTCCGGCATTGCCCGGCATCTGGGAATTGGCCTCTGCCCTGCCTACCCCGCGTCGCTCCCTCGCTGCTGTGCCCCGTCCTCCTTGCTACCAGCAGCTTGGCTCTGCGGGCGAAGCGGCTGTCGCAGCCCGGGACCCCAGGCGAGGAGAGGCCAGAAGCAGGCCCGTACAGACACAGGGCAGACGGGATCAAGTGATCTCTGCTCCTGCACCTTCCCAGCCCCTCGGTCACTGCCGTCCACCTCACCTCTGCCCCTGCCTGGCACTGCCCAGTCGCTGGACACCTTGCTGCTCTGGGACCACGAGGTCCGTCTGCACCCGGGGGTCCTCCCTCGCTCACTGGTTTGGATGCTGTAAGCTGAGGCGGGCTCGTCCCCCGCCAGGCAGGGTCCCCCTGGGAGCTGGAGGCCTCTTGGCCTCCAGCCCCGAACCAAGTCTCATTGACACGACACCAAGGGAGAAGAGCCAGGCCCCCCACTCCTGAGACCCAGGCCATGAGGGAGGGGGCTGTTGGGCCACCCCCACCCCCCAGTCAGTGTCTTCAGCCAGGAAAATGCCTCCTCCCCGAGACCCCCCAGCAGCGACCAGTCCAGAGCGAGGCCGCGTCTCCCGTGCCGCAGGCCCCGGCGCTGCCTGCAGCTCCTGGCAGAGACGGTACCGGGCTGGCTGTCCCCCATGCCCACGGTCCCCCCCTCGCAGGGCCCGGGCCTTGCTCCGTCCCAGCAGCACCAGGGTAGCAGGCAGGGGACGGTCCGAGACCGGCGCGGTTCCCTCCCTCCGCCCGCGTCAGCCCCTGCGCGGGGGTCTGGACCGCCCTGACGGTACGGTGCACGCTGTCGCGGCTCAGGTTCGCAGCAGCAGATTTTCACCGGGGAGGAGAAGAGGCCTTGCCTGCCCCCGTTTCACAGCTCGGTCCTGACTCCCTGCAAGCTGCCCGGCGCCACGTTCCTCCCCGTCCCATCCCGTGGCCTTGCTGCTCGCAGGGCACGAATCTTCCCCTCTGTCCCTCCTGCCTTCTGGTCCCATCTTTTCTCGCAATCAGCTGGAAGCATCTTCTTTGCTCTTGTCCCCGTCTCTCTCTTCCCCCTTTCTCCCTGCGCTGCTGTTGGCTACCAGTGGGACGGCATCCAGCGCCACGCACAGGCCGGTGCTGCCAGTCGGGTGCTCGGAGATGATCGGCCCCCGCGCTGGGTTAGGAGGGCTGGGTTGCTCAGGCTGCGTTTCATGGCAGAGGCCACGTGCTCGGCCGGCTGGGTAAGAGCGCCCCGTCCATTTTGGTTTCTCCTTCCACTCATTTCCCCTCATCTCCCCACCCCCTTCATTTATTTGTCCCCAGCCCCCTCCGCCCCGCCCCAAGAGGTCGAGTGTGTAAGCACCAGCTCCACCACCATCCGGGTAAGTTGGGTGCCGCCGCCGGCCCAGAGCCGCAATGGGGTGATCACGCAGTACTCCATTGCGTACCAGGCGGTGGAAGGAGAGGACGGCGCCAAGCACGTGGTGGAAGGCATTGGACGGGAGCGCTCCAGCTGGGAGATCACGGACCTGGAGAAATGGACCGAGTACAAGGTGTGGGTGCGGGCTCACACCGATGTGGGCCCCGGCCCGGAGAGCCTCCCCGTGCACGTGCGCACTGACGAGGACGGTAGGTGATGCCAGGCACTTCCCTGCTGTGCCAGGACCCTCTCGGCAGGAGGATGCCCCCGGCCCGGTAGCATTTCTCGCTGACCCGCACGTAGCGCAGGGCCAGCTGCTGGCGGGTGGGGGAAGCGTCCCGTTTCGGACGAGGAGCTGCACTGCTTGCCCTGCCGCATCTCTGCCGAGCGCCCTCGGGGCCGGCACGGCCGCTTGCCTGGGCCCTGGCAGCGCCAGTCGCCTGCGCCTGCCTGGCACTCTCTGGGAGGACACGCGCCTGCTCCCCTGCATTGCAGGACTGGGATTTAAACTCGACTTGCTGACCTGAAACATGGCAGATCAAAGAGAGGAAATTAAGTCCCTCGGAGGCGTGCAAGCATTGCTGGAAGCTGCTTCCCGCCCCGGCTCCCGGGCAGGCCGCAGCTTATATAAATCTGTTCTGCTCAAGAGTCAGCGTATCGCACGGGCGGGATGCTTCGCCGGCCGGGGCAGCCGGAGAAAAATTGCTTTGTATTAGTGAGACTGTCAGTCATGTCACTGGGACTTAAGCCCCTTCCCTTTGAATGTGCCGCTGCTCAGCGTGACGGCCAGGACCGCCGCGGCTTCGCGCTGACCGCGGAGCTGCGCATTTTGGGGGGAGGGAGTGAGGAGGAGTGGCGGGTGGGCCCGAAGGGGACCCTCTCCGTGCCCAGCCAGGCTGGCAGATCAGACCCAGGCAGTCTGCAGTTGTCCCTCGTGCCTCCTTGGCGCTGGGAAGCACTGGCTGGCGGTTTCCCCGGCGTGCGAACTCATCTGTGTGTCCTGCTGCCTGTACCACTTGCTTCAAATCATTCAGCAGAGCCATCGCCTCGGGGAAGCTGCTACCCCAGAAATGTCGTGGCCAGCTCTCCCATTTACTTGTAGGGCACCGCGGTTGGACATCCCAGTCGAGCTGTCAGGAATGATTTGGATTGCTCCGGCAGGCGGGCGCGCGGTAGAGCCCCGTAAGGGAGGAAAGTGAAACGCAGAGCTCGGAGTGAGAGGCAAATGAATTGAACTTTCCCTCCTCCACCTCAGCTCGGCTCCTTGCTCACACCCGCCGCGCGTATGGCGCAGGCGTTCATTGTGGGGGTCACCTTCCTGGCTCCAGCGGGCTGGGATTCCTAGAGAGCCCGGTGGGACGAGGCTTTCCAAGAGCTTCAGCACCTTTTAAGCTCATACCTGCCTGGAAGCCTCCCCCCGCAGCCCCAGCCAGCGCCGATGCTACCTGCGAGCGCTTGCGCGTCTCGGCAGCTTTCTAGTTTCCCAGGGAGGATCATGCTGAGGCGCGCGGCTGGCCGAGCAGGAAGGAAGGGGGCTGGCTCGCTCAGACAGGGAAGCCCCTTGACTCACTCGAGGTCACAGAGACGAGTGGTTTGGATGACAACGCAGCGTGTCACGGCGGGAGTCTTCAGCACGCAAACCCTCTCCAACCTTGCACCTTGAGCCGGCCAAGCAGTGCCAAGACGCCCCATCCCTCCTTTCTCCATTTTATTTAATTAGCTACAATTAAGAAAGCCATCTAGGGAAAATAATGAATTGCCCTGAGGCTTAAAGATCGTGCTTGCCTGCCGGGAAGCTGTTTCTTCCCATCGAGTTGATTGCAATAACAGCATTCATCCCGCCTGCCTGTCAGCGATCTGTCCCTAATTATCTAATTGCCGTGCTGTCCTGCTGCGCTGAGGATTGGGGTGCACGGGGCTTTCCGAGCCCCTGGTATGCCCAGGGAAGACCTGGTGGGCCCGGGGACCGGGGCTGTGACCTTTGAGCCGTGGCAGGCGTGTGCATCGCAGCCGTGCCCACCCAAGGCCCCCCCAGCCGGTTCAGTCAGAGGACACTTCCCGAGAGCCACGGAAAGCACTAATGTCTTCACATTGACGTTTTTGTCACCGTCAATGCAGAAGCAGAAAAGTAATAAGGATGTAATTTTTCCAAATGGTAAATAGGGTATAAATACATTTTTAAGCGTGGCTCACCTCGCCAAGGAATTGATATTTCCAGGGCAGCATAATTTTTCATTTCATTATCAAAAAGTGTTCAGCTAGCCGTGCATGAAATGCAGTCCACCCAGAGCTGTCACCATCCCCACAGCCCCGTTATCGGGCGGCGTTCAGCGACCGCACCCTTGGAGCTCGGGTTTATTGTCTTTGGGGGAGCCTTTCCTCCCCGTTTCCCGTCTCTGGTCGCCGTGGCCATGCAGGCCCACAATCGGGGTGGTGATGGGGTGCGGCTCCAGGCCCCATGTGCGGCCCCTGCCGAAAGCAGCTGCCCCACAGAGAAGGCAAGCGCTCTGCACAAGATGTTGCACTGGGTATCGTAACGGGAGCTGCGTGGGCACCGGGGAGATCCAGCTGGGAAAGGGCGAGGGCAGCCCCGGGACTTCCCAGGCCGGAGCAGGGAGGTAACGCAGGCGGGAGCAGGCCCCGCGGGTTGGGGAGGAAGCGGGAGATGCGGGGGCAGGCGCCGTTCACACGGTCTGTGCCTCGTGTGTCCTAGTGCCCAGCGCCCCGCCGCGGAAGGTGGAGGTGGAGTCCGTGAATTCGACGGCCATCCGGGTCAGCTGGAAACTGCCCCTGTCCAACAAGCAGCACGGGCAGATCCGGGGCTACCAGGTGACTTACGTGAAGCTGGAAAGCAATGAGCCGCGAGGGCAGCCGATCATCAAGGACGTCATGTTATCGGAGGCGCAGGTACCGCTGGGGGGTGCATTCAGGGTGGGGGTTGATTTCTGGATGAGCCTCCTGGCGTCCTGCCTTTGCAGCAGGGGCTGGCGGGCTGGAAGCGAGGGTCCTGGGGCAGGATTGCCTCGGCCACAGAAGTGGGGGCTCTCTGGAAGCTCCCGCCCCACGCCCACGGGGAGGAGAGGCCCAGGCAAGCGCGAGCTTGTGTCCTTGTTGGACTCCTCGCAGGCCGGCCCCTGCCTGCTGGGGGGATGCACAGAGCTGCCTGCAGCTCAATACACACCCTGCCAGGCTGTCTGACGGCGCTCCAGGGGGTTGCAAGCCTCCCCCGGCGGCACTGGGGGCTGCCGCAGCCCAGGCTGGGGATGGGACTGGGCTGTGCCAATGCTCCTGCTGCCCCCCCCTCCCCCCGCAGGGTCCTGGCTGGAGGGTCAGCCCAACGCTGCACTGGGGCAGGAAGGGATTTCCCCGCCTGCCCAGACTGGTCTGAACTGGGGAGGGGGTTTGCCTTCCTCTGTCTGCAAACCCTCTTTGCAGCAGCAGGACATCGGCGGCCGCAGCCCCCCTGCTTTCCTGGGGGCAGGGGTGGGGGGCGATGCCCAGGGCTGTCAGGGGTGACTGTGTCGTGTCGCTCAGAGCTCAGACACGGGGCTTGTCTGGGCTGGTTTGGATGGGCCTGATCCTGCCTCGGGGAGTTGGACTGGATGTGACCCCGCAGCTCCCTGCCAGCCCGCAGCTCTAGGACTCTGCTCCCTTTCCTGTGTGCTGGCAGCGCTGGGCAAGGGGTGATGCTGAGGAGAGGTGCCGCCCTTGGAGGGGCAGCCGGGCCGCCCTGGTGCAGGGTGCCCCCCCAAGCCACATGTCTCCCAGTGTTGGGCGCAATGGGGCTGGGCCCTGCCTGCAGGCTGCCACGTTCCCCCTCGGGTGGTGATGCTTCCCCCGGGCTCACAGCCCTGAAACGCAGCCACGCAGCCCTGGCTGCCTGGGGGTGGGACCCACTTGTCTGTGGGGCCAGTCCCCCGTTCGCGGTTGCCTCGTGCTGCGTGCCAGCTCCATGGCTTCTAGCCGAGCAGATGCGGGGCCACCGTCCCCCCCACCACATCCCATGCCTCAAGTCTGCTTCGGGTCGGCCTGGGCAAGGAGCCGCAATCGCCCACGCCCTGTTTTCCCCGGGGCCCAGGGAAGCTCAGACCCGCTGCCTCTCCGCTCGGAGCGGGGCTCCCTCGTCTGACGCGGCCCGAGCCCGCGCCGATCTGGGCCCAGAGCATCATGTGAATGCAGCCTGCGCTGTGCCGCCGTCGGGAGCACCGCGGGATCGATGCCAGGCTGGCCGGGGGGCCGCTGCCCAAGGCGTGATGGAGCACGGCAGCGATTAATCGATCCCTCTCCTGAACGCCGCTGTAAATCCTTTATGCGTGTCGGCAGGGAGCAGAGCACATGGGGGAAAACCCGCGGATGGGGGAGAGGGGCCAGGGGCTGATTCGTGCGAGTCGACCGGGAAGTGCCTTTCCGGGGCCGCATCTCCCACAGAAGCAGCCTGAGGCCGTGCGCCACTGGGGGCTAACGAGGCGCTCCCGGGGCAGGCCGGAGTAAGCTGCCCCGCGAGCGCTCCAGCCGGTCTCACGCCCGTGTCTTGCTGATGTGGGTCGGGGCGTCCCGTGGGAGAGCGTGCTCTTTGTCAGAGCTGGGGCCAAGCCGGGCAGCTGAGCGGGCTCCTGGCCTCTTGCAGCGCATCCCGGCTTGGGCTGCGGAGCTGAGTTTGCGGCCGTCTCTGGGGCACCTGTCGGCGGCTCCATCTTGGCGACACCCGGACTGAAACCGGCAAGGAAGTGAAGGCGAGAAGCAGAGCGCCGTGGTGGGAGCCGTGGTGCCAAGGCAGAAAGGCTCCAGGTCATTAGGAGAGGACCTCGTCTCGCCAGCAGCGAGGAGGCAGGTGCTCGTGGTCCTGCTCGCAAGGACGCTCTCGTGCCTGCAGCTGACGAGCTCGGAGGGCCCGGGAGTCTGTGCAGGGCACCAGCAGCCTCATCACACCCGGGGTTTTCTTTAAGCAGCATCGGAGATGTTCCCTGGAGAGCGCCCGTCGTGAAGGCCGGGGTGCATGCGGGCACGCCAGCCCTGCTCGGCACCAGCGCGGGACACATCTCGGCCCAAGGGGCAGGATTAAACCGTACGAAGATCGGGGGTCAGAGGGAATTTTCCGTGGCGCACCAGCAGGGCAGGGACCCCTTCCCCGGGTGCTGGGCCCCGAGCATCAGCTGGGTGTGAGGAGGCTTGTCCCACATAATCAACTGCCTGCAGATGTTATAAAGACAGCGGCAGGAGAGCTGACTCACGGCTTTTTGCTGTTTGAAGATGAGAGCTATACAGGAGTAAATGAAGATGAAAGGAAACGTAAAGAGCAGTGGAGATGTTGGCGGTTCAGATAACCTGCCTGCCTGGTTGTCAGACCCGTCGGAGCGGGGTGCCCGGGCCGCGGGGCCGGACGGACCGCGTGTTCTTGCCCAGCCTCCTGCCGAGGGAAGATAATTGACTGGGAGGAAGGCCCTGCAGCGAGTCTCCCGCCGGGGCGATGCCTGTGACTGATTACCCCTGCCAGCTCTCGCCAGACTGAAGTCCGTTTCCAGCCTGCACCCTCACCTCCCCGACAGACAGACAGACGGACAGGCTGAGCCGGCGTCCGTGCCCCGTGAAGACCCGGCACAGCGACAGGCGCGGCGTCTTCACCGAGCGGGGCCTGTCACCGCCGGCTGCGGCGTTGTCACCCACAGGGCCGCTGAGGCCAGGGGTGGGTGGGGGCGGCCGAGTGCCCGGGCACAGCTCTCCTCCTCTTTGCTGAGCGTCGTGGCGCAGCCCGGCGTCCGTCTGGGGCAGCCGGGAGGTGCCGGCCGTGAGAGCACCGATGCAGGGAAGGACGGAGGAGACGGGGAAGCAGAAGAGTGGTTTCTTTCAGCTCGATGTCCGAGCGCCCCGGGCTCCTCGGACGAGTGCGAGAGCCTCTGAGGGTGGGACAGAGACAGCGGGCGGTGGTGCCGACGGGGCAGGCAGGTCAGCAGGAGATGGAGAGCTCGTCTGTCTTGGGGCACCTGGCGTGAAGGAAGTGCGGAGCTTGCCCTGAGGCGGGCGCTTGGGCCCAGCCAAGATGTGGTTTAATGGGACAGGCTGGTTCGGGGGGAGTGGGACCCTTTTTCCAGCTGCTTCCCATGGGCATCCATGCTCGGTCCTGGGAGTGACCCTGCGTCCTCTCACCCAGAGAAGAGCTGTGAGGCCTACAGAGGACCTGTGTGCCTTTGGTGCACTCTGCCAAGCCCTGGGCAATGGCCCGGCCATCTCTCGGCAGCTTCCAGCCTTGCCTGCTTGCATGTCTTGCCTCCTCGGTGCACTGCCACAGCATCCCTCCAGCCTGGCTCTTGCCGGGCCTCCCCGAGCCGGCTGGCGCTCCAGGAGCACAGGTCTGCGCAGTGCTTCCTCGGCCCCTTTCCAGACGTAGCCGAAGGAGCCAGCCGGCACCAGGAGCACGCGCCCTCCCGAGAGAGATCTTCAGGGCCGGCGAGGCCAAGAGCAGGTCTCACAACCGGCTGGTCCGTGTCCAGCGCTCGTAGACCATCTCCGCGCACACCCTGCCTGGCCTCCCGGAAATGGCAGAGGGAGGTAACAGCAAGTGCCTGGGGCCGGTAGCGAGCTGGGAAGCCTGGCAGGGAGCTGGGGGACGGAAAAGAGCCATGGGCCCACCCCAGCATCAGGAGGACTTGGAGGAAGGCTCCCTCTTGGACCCATTGAGTGGCTTGCAGAAGTTTCTTGTGATGCTTCCCAGAAAGCCCCTGATTTCCTGGCTTGACTTGCCTGGTCCAGAGGCGAGGCAAAGCTCCAGAGCAGTGAGGCCGCTCCCCTGCTCCGGTCCTGGGCAAGAGAGGAGAATCCAAGAAAGCCCCAAATCCAGCTCCCGCGGCTGGGGCTGGCTCCAAAGGGCCTGGGCCGGCACTGCCGGCAGAGCCGCCGTGCTCAGGGAAGGCTGCCGTCCCCTTCGCGAGACGTGTCTGCGCCGCGCCGCGTGGGAGCGCAGGATGAAATGTCGTGACGGCACCGCTGCGGACATAGATGCACGCCGTTAGCGTCGGCGCCTGCCTGCACTGCCTCGCCTGGCGCTCAGCACCAGCTGAATCCTTTTCATTACGGCAACTGGGTCCCGAGATCAATTTGTCTTGCTCAGCAACCTTAAGCACTTAGGAAGCAATTGAGCTGGTTTAGGAGGGAAATGTTTTTTATCTGCCGGTGATATTTCCGTAATGGATATAAATTCAGTTTGAAGGGTTGAGCCAGGCCTGGCTCCTCAGACCTGTTTCTGCAGCTGAGATGGAAAGGTTCCCATGCCCCCGGATCCGAAGGGGGAGGACGTTGCACTGATGAGGGCAGCGCGCGCGGCGCCTCCGGGGTCAAACTCTGCTCCGAGCCTGACGGAGGTGGGAGCGGGCAGGCTGCTGAGCCGGGGAGGCTCTCCCGAATGCCGCCCCCGCGGCTCTTCTCCGTGGTCCAGCTCGTCGTGTGTAGGATGGGGCTACATGCTTTCCCAGCCTGGTCGCAGCACCATGGTCTCCTGAAAGAAAAGGCTGCCAGTCCCATCGTCCCATCGACCTCGTCCAGCCAAGCAGCTCGGTGCGGCCGGGCACTGGCAGGAGGACTGAGCATGGAGAGGGCGCCTAGGCTCTGATGCCGACCGTCCTTGGTCAGGACTTTGCTTTTGCAGAGCTCTCCAGGGGTGACCTGGCTTCTCCGTCATGGTTTATGGGGACAGTTGCAGCAGTAGGTTAGTGCCGTTCAGTGTGGGACCTAGAAGAGGAGTCCAGGAGGCATTGTCCCACCAGTGGCTGCTTTCCCGGGATGCGTAGACTAAAACAGCATAAACGTTGATTTTATTTGAATGCTGAGGAAGTGCCTGGAGGGATCCAGCCAGCAGGAACCCCCTCGGGGAGGGGTCTGCGAGAGGCATCTTGTGGCTTTTAATATCACTGACCCCGTCTGGGGCATCTGCCATCTCCAGGTCCCTGGCCCTCTGCAAAGGTTAGCTCAGCTCAGCAGCGCCCAGCCCCGTCGGACAGCTCGCTCGGGCTCCCACCGTGAGTCTGTAATGGAGCCGGGACTGGGACCGCTTACCCATGCTCTCGGGGGGGAGGGACTGACCGCCCTGGCCGAAAAATCTGGGTTCGGCCAGTGCCCTCCATCAGCAGTCGGCAGAAAGCCTCGTGACGGTAGCAGACTTGCCCTGGCTGAAGCTCCCGTGCCCCATGCGCTCTTGGCAGCCGAACCCGATCTCGGGGACGACTGGAAACCCGCGTGCCTCCCAGGAGCCTCCTTAGCGCATCGTTGGAGGCGGGGGCACGGATGGCGTACATGTGCTGCTCGCTGCTCTTCGGCAGGGCGGCGGGGGCCGCGAGGACGTTTAGATCCTGGCGAGAGAGAAGTCCTCCCCAGTGCTTGTTCCCATGCAGCACGAGGCCCTTGACAGCAGCCGCTCCTGCCCTGGCTTCCCGTGAGCACACGACACCTGGTTCGGAGCTCAGATTAGGCGCCGCTTGCAGCTGCTCGGGTGGCTGCGGGTGCTGAAGTGCTCCTGGGCAGGTGATGGGGAAGGAGAAGCCCCTTGTACCGTAGCCGCGTTTCAGTTGACACCAGCTCCTCCATCTCGTCTGCTGCCGTCTTAGGTTTCCAGTGAGATGGGGGCTGGGGCGTTTCTGGACCCGAGCCCTCTCTGTTGCTGCCACTCCATTTCCAGGGCAGGCGCAACAAGGAGGACTGGTCCCTTGGCAGCCCCAGGCACAGAACGGGGCCGAGCGGCCTAGGATGGTGGTGACCTTGTCTACATTGCTGCTGCCCTCTCTGCTGCCACAGCAAAGCCTGGCATCAGCAAAGCAGGAGAGCCCGTGAGAAGAGCTCGCAGGTGTTGGGGGGTGTGGGTGTGCGTGTGCGTGCAGCTCCGGCCCCCGTGCGTGTGCGCTCCTAGCCCTTCTGCACAGGCTGGCTGCATGCAGGTGGTTGTGCTGCATCCTCGGCCCGGCCCAGGCGGAGGGATCCCTCGTGTGTCCGCGTGATAACCCCACGCCCGGCCCTGCTAACCCGCGCTCTTGTCATCGTCAGCCCCTTCCTAGAAGCGGTCCCTTAAAACTCTTGTGTCTCCATTTTTCTCTCCTCTCCCCTTTCTCCCCATCAGTGGAGGGCTGAGGACTCCGTGGACCACGTAAGTACCACTCGTGTGTGTTCCCGTTTGGATCAGAGGGGTTTGGTAAATCGATTTGTGAATTTTGTAGACATAGTGCTGTCAAAACATCCCTTTCTCTCCCTTAATGAGGCCGGAGAGTTACATCGTGAAGCCTTCCACAGGCAGCAAATCCAGAGAAAATTGGCATTTAGATTGCTGCTAAATGCAGAAAAGCAATTGACATTTTCTATAATCTGTATTTCCAGCTTGTTGCAATGCAATTTTAGGCAGACTCAAGTGATCAACTCGGGAGGTGCAGCCTGCTTTCTGCAGGCGTTGGCCAGCTAGTTATGTGGTAAAATTAGATCTATAATCTCTAAACCTCATTGATCCTGCTCATGAAAAATAACCCATGCTCTCAACCGTGACCTTTGGCTCAAACAAAGGCTGTAATAAGAAAGCAATCTCATTTAAACAGTTAAATCCAATTTTTCCCACGTAATTTTGAAATATAAATTTGAAGGAACAAACTAGAAAACGACCTTTTTAGAGTCAGCGATTCAATTACATGCCCCGCCGCCAGCCTCCAGGCACAGGTGGCTTCTCCCTCCATGCCAAGAGGAGGCGTTCGGCCAGGCAGGCGCGGCGCCGCGATGACAGCCCTCTGTTTACCTGGTGCAATCATCCCTCCGTCCACCCCCCTCTGTCGTCCCCTCCTCCCTGCTTGCTGGCTGGGCTCCCGGTGCATACCCTTGCGTGTGAATGCATCTGCATGGACTGGGGAGGAGCTGGGTCCTCCCAGGATGCTCAGAGCCTGCCGTTCGTGTGTGAGTGTGCCCCCATGCCCCGCCGCCCGCCTGCTCCTGCCCTCACTCCCCTTCCTGGCGTGCTGCCGGGGGAGCGGGAGTCACGCTCGCCCTGTGATTTTGGTGTCATTCTTGCTGGGGCTTGTTGATTTGTTTCGGGGCTGCTGGTTACACCCGGGCAGCAGGGGGGTAGCTTTGGGGTGAAGTGAGGGCACAGGGTGGGCTCCCTGGCAAGCAGTGCTGGTGCCAAGCGGTTCAGGAAGGCGATGATGCCCAGGCCCCCCTTGTCCCTTCCTGGCTCCAAGGACTCCCCCGGTCCCAGGAGGTAACCATTACACAGCTCTCCTGCGGGCCCTCCCCATCGCACCCAGACCCTCCTCATCCTGTGCCCGGTCGGCTGTGGCTCCTTCTCCGGTTCGTTTCCATCCAGGGAGGATGCCTCTACGTGGCCTGGTGCCTGGGGCTGAGCAGCACTCGGACGGCGCTGCGGCACGGTGCAGACAGGCTGCAGCCCACCCGAGCTGGGTCTGTGCCGGGGGCGGCTCTCCGGCTGGGGCAGGCTTTCTCAGGACGGCCCCTGAGCTCTGTTCCTTGCGGCCACGCCACAGGCAGCTTTCCGGGCCGAGGCAGGGCCCCTTGCAGCTGTGCTGTCACGGGAGAGGAGCAGGGGGCCGTCCCGCTCAGTGTCTTGCCATGCAGTCGGAGGTGAGATCGCACCCTCCTGTCGCCCGGGACGCATGCCCTCTGCTCTGGGCAGCCAAGCGTCCCCTCCAGGGCACACCACCAGCGCCGCAGGTACCAGGTGCCCAGCTTGGCACCCCGGGGGCTACACAGCCCGGAGGCTGAGCCGAGCCGAAACCACCCCGCGCTGCTCTCCCCTCCCCTGAGAGCCACCTCGCCTCTGCGCCCATGGCCGTCCCTGGCAGCGATGCTGCAGCAGAGCTGAAGCGTGGGGGGCACCGGTCGCCATCCGCCCGCACCCCTTATCTCGGAGTCCAGCAACCCCCCGGCCCCTACGTGAGCTCCCGTGGCCAGCGGCAGCACTCAGCTTGGCTTCAGGCCGAGTTTTAATCATGCCAGAATGAGTCCCCTGGTGCCTTCCCGACCTGGCCGTTTGCTCCGGCTTGTTGTGATCCTCTTGTCCTCATGTGGCCTGCTCGGAGGTGGACTGCCCCCAAGGCCTGTCCAGCGTTGCACAGAAACCGCCTCTTAACCTGAGCTGCTGTAAGCGGCAGAGCGGTGGAGAAAGGAGGCAAGGAGCTGAGGGGAGGTGGTGGGTGCCGGGGTCGCTTCCCTGCCCACCCCCCTCTTCCCTGGAGGTCAGCCCTGCCGGCAGGCTGCTGAGGATTTCGGTTACGTGCACCAGGTCTCCAGGCTCTGAGATGCAGTATCAGAGAGTGAATGAGCTCCTTGACGAGGGCTGCCCCCTCCTGCTAGCTCTGCACGGGTTGAGTTGCCTGCCCGCCTGGGTGCGACACATGGTGGTCCGTGTGTTCCCTTCTGCATCCCGTGTGGTAACGGCGCGTGTTTCTTGTTGCTTCCCTTCTGCTTGCTGCGTGGACGGACCCACAGGAAACCATCATCAGTGGCCTGCTGCCCGAGACCACCTACTCCATCACGGTTGCAGCCTACACCACCAAGGGGGATGGCGCACGCAGCAAGCCCAAAGTCATCACGACCACGGGGGCAGGTGAGCACGTGGTGCCCGGGGCAGAGGGAGCACAGCAGGGACAGCCCCGTTGAGCAGCAGCTGATGTGGTTGAAGGTGTTGAGAAGGATCCGTGCTCCTGGGGAGGGGGAAGGATGCACGTGATCCACACGCCTGGACCCCAGGCTTTTAGGGGCTGGAACGCATGGATCATGTGGCACGGGGGGTACCAGTGAAGTGTCCTGAGCCCTGCAGCCTGAGCTCCCCCAGGCAGCCCGGCGAGCCGGGAGCAGGGAACCAGCCCCACGGCCAAGCTCACTTCATCCCCCGTGAAATGCAGTGCTTTCCCCGCACAGTTTTCTGATGCACTAGAAGCTGGATTGGGGTGTGGGGCGGGCATGTTTCCTGCGCCTGCTCTGATCTGAGAAGGAGGTTTACAGCGGGGACCCAGCCAATACGCAATGCTCCTGCCTATGTCTCAGTAAGCAAGGAGGGCTGCTCCTGCGGCCTCAGGAGATCTGTAACCTGGGCACGGGCAGTGCTGCAGACCCCGCTGTCCAGCCTCTGGATCCTGACGAGTCCAGCCAGGGAATCCCCCCTGCAATCGGACGAGCCTGCCCACGACAGCTGGGGGCAGGGACGCCTCACCTTTGGATGCACTTTGTGGGCTTGCTGGAGGCGCGCTGCCTCGGCCCTCAGAGCTAGTGCCAATTAGGCAGTGGCATCTTGTCAGCATTGCACTCGCCAGTTCCAGGCTACAGGTCATTGCTTTGCGGCGTTTCAGACCAGCAGGTATCGCTCCTAATTGCAGGAGGGCGTTTGGTGCGAGCTAGAAATCCTGGCTCCCAACACGCTGACCCCAGATGCCCTTTGCTGCCTCCTCTAGCTGCCTGTGATGCCAGGGTAGCTCCAGAGGTACCCTCTGTGGTCAGCCTTGTTGCGGCCCCTTCCCTCTGGCCTCACCGTGGCATGCGCTGCCCATCAGAGGAGAAGCTTCCAAAATGTCTCTGTGGCACAGGTGCCTGCTGCAAACCTCCCCACGACACGATGTGCATGCAGCACGCCGTGCTGAATTTGAGCGGCCCCCCCACCACGGGGAGACAACGGCCAGGCTTGCCTTGCCCGCCGGGGAGCGGCACTGTTGGCTAGCGAGGGCAGGATTGGGCCCACAGGCTGTCAAATCTGTTCTCGTTTTCCATGTGCCAGTAGGTCGCAGCATTTAAATACCACGTGAAGATAGGGATCCAGGCTGTGCTGCTGCCCAGCGCCTTCCCTGTTTTTCCTCCTCAATCACCGCGCCGCGCCATTGTTTCTAAATGTCTTCCCTGTCGGCTGATCTGTGTACAAACCGGAGCTGATTGGAGACGATGACACGTTCCCGCTCTAAGTGGAAGGGGGCTCGCGTTATTAAAGCATCAATTTAAGCCACCGGTCTCTAACCTGGGACGGCAGCAGCCCCGAGCGTGTGCAGCACAAACACAATTGCCCGGGAGTGGCTCGCCAATCACACCGGCATTCGCTTGGTGAACGAGCTCATCAGTGACAGCAAAATACGCTCTGATTGCAAGCGGCCCACCCGGCTCCACGGGCTGCCTGTGCAGGTGGCGAAATCGCAGTTCAGGGATGCAAAGCATCTGCTTCCTGAGGGAGCAGCAAGCCACTGGGGGGGCTTCCACGCGGCTGCCACAAAACAGGTCGTCGTGGTTCGGAGGCGGCGGCTGTCCGTATCCGCATGGCAGGCACTGACCGGAGAGGGGCAGAGGCATCCCTGGGACTGGTGTGGCACCTGAAGGGGTCCTGGAGCCAGTGCTGACCAGGACGCAGATGTGTGTGGTGCTGCTGACCACTTAGTTGGTCACCTGCTTAGACAGTAGGATTTGGGGGAGGGGGTTGAAAAATGGACTGGGTCCAGCTTCCATCAGCACCTGGGTTTGGGCCCCGACATGAGCCAGGCGCACGCCAGAGTTAGGCCAGTTCTCCTGCACCCACAGTCTTCTCCTGCTTCTGCATGTGGGAAGTCACCGTGTGTTTCTGTTTCAGTCCCCGGCAAGCCCTCAATGATGATCAGCACGACGGCCATGAACACGGCGCTCATGCAGTGGCACCCGCCCAAGGAGATGGTGGGGGAGCTGCTGGGCTACCGGCTGCAGTACAAGCGGGTGGACGAGGAGAAGATGAACACGATCGACTTCGGGAGGAACGACCATCACTACACCGTGACCAACCTACACAAGGGAGCCACCTACATCTTCAAGCTGTCGGCCAAGAACCGGGCAGGCCTGGGGGAGGAGTTCGAGAAGGAGATCACGACCACGGAGGACGTGCCCAGCGGCTTCCCACAGAACCTGCGCGTGGTGGGGCTCACCACCTCCACCACCGAGGTGGCCTGGGACCCCCCGGTGCTGGCCGAGAGGAACGGGCGCATCGTCAGCTACACGGTGGTGTACAGAGACATCAACAGCCAGCAGGACCTGACCAATGTCACCAGGAACACCAACATCACCCTCACCAACCTGAAGCCCGACACCACCTATGACATCAAAGTGAGGGCCCGCACCAGCAAGGGGCCTGGACCCCTCAGCCCCAGCATCCAGTCCCGGACCATGCCCGTTGATCAAGGTAAGGGCTCACAGCACACCCTGACCCCAGGAAGGCGCCCTCCCTCTGGCTAGTGTGGCTGCCAATCCCGGGGTTTCCAAGAGCAAAAGCAGCTCAGCACAGGGAGCTTCCCTGACGTCACCGGGGACGAGGTGGGGAGTCCTCGGCAGTAACGTAATTGCCTTTGTCATTTCACACGCCGGCTCCCCTGTTTCATCTGCACATGAAAGGAGCTTTGCTGGCTCCAGTGCCGACCTGCAAGGTAGCATCACTGGCACAGCCCACACCTGGGAGCTGCTGCTCTTTGATCACAGCAAAGGGCCGAGCGGAGGGGGAAAGAGGAGGGTGGCAGTTCGGTCGGCACCCGCCGCTCTCAGATGCTGGAGAGTACGGTCAGAAGGAAACTCCACGGGAGACTCCATAAAGACGCTGCCGAGCTGTCCTCTCCTTGCCTCCCCCTCTCTCCTACTGCAGCCGAGCTCTCTGACCCAGGCTGCCGTGGCAGGACACGTATCCTGCAGCCCTGCAGCCGCACAGCTCCCTCCCTGCATGCGTGCGAGGGCTCAGCGGTGTTGTTTCTTGTTTCAGTGTTTGCCAAGAACTTCCGCGTCAACGCGGCGATGAAAACCTCCGTGCTGCTGAGCTGGGAGGTGCCGGACTCCTATAAGTCTTCAGTGCCTTTCAAGGTAAGGCCCACATGGCTGGGGCGTGGAGATGCTCCCGTGGTGGGGGGAGCAGTCCTCTGCAGTGCAGCGTGTCCAACGCCTGCTGCCCAGGGTCTGCTCCGGGCTGTCAGATGCAGGGGAGCTGAGCATGGTCGTGCTGGTGCCGGTGCCTGTCTGGGGACCTTTTCAGCTGCAGAGGTCTCCATGTGTACAGCCCTGGTGCAGTGCAGAGGCCCCGGCCACCTCTCACCCTCCTTCCCTCACGCCAGGTTGTGGGCGAGGGCCAGCTGCAAGCAGTGTCAGTACAAATGGGAATAATGACGACTTCTGTGCCAGCAGGAAGCGATGGGAAACGTGCTGTGCCGAGCCAGGCGTGGCTTGCTAGGAGGGGGGCCCCGGGTTGGCATGGGGCAGACTGGGAAGGGAAGGGGTGCACCAGGCTGGGGGTGGGGGCCACTGCCCCGGGACACTTTCTTCAGCACCACCGCTGTAGTACGTGCAGCCTCCTGCCTCAGGAGGTAGCTGGCGAGCCGTACAGTGCCCCTAGCAGCAGGCCCCGGCGGCTGGTGCTGAGCAGCCTCCGTGTCCAGGGTCAGGCATGGCCGGAGGAGTGCGTGCTCCGTGTGTTAACCCCCCACTGCCAGCCCACCCCTAGTGCCTGCTGGTTTCTTCCAGCCAAGCCTGGTCCTGAGCATCCCCTGCTCCAGCACATCCTGTCCGGGGGCAGGGGGATTCGTGCATCCACCCACGGCTCTTAGCGATGCCTGTTCCCTGACCGGCTGCAGCTGATACACAGACAGGCCAAGGTGCCCACTCTCCCCACCGGTGTCTGGAGTCTGGTCCTCCCTGGCATCACCTGCAGGCGCTTCCTGTCACTGCCTGGCGGTGACAAGGCGTTCCCTTCGCTGGGGCCTTGGGGTTTGTTCTCACCCCCTGGCACGGTAGAGAGCCATTCCCAGGTTCTCTGCACCAGTGGAGACTGGTCAGGGTGGGAGAGTGCCCTCCTGCAGCTACAGGAGAAGGGCACAGGCCACAGACCACCCTGGAAGAGTCAGAACAGCAACCTCAGCGCTGGACTTGGATGGGCAAGACCGTGCAAAAGGCAAGCCATCCCTCGACCCTGCCCACAGCAGGGCACCACATCCGTGGCAGGGTGCAGGACACTGTTTACACTGCACAAGACAAAACCCCTCTCCATCGGTCTCCCTGGGGACACTCCGTTTGAACAGCTGCAGCTCTCCTCTGCCCAGCGCATGTCTCCCTGGTCCCAGGCACCAGGCCCTGGGTGGCCTGTTTGCACGCTGATGGGAAGCAGGAGCCGAGCCCTGGCCCTCTGCCGGGGTGCGGGGAGCAGGCCAGGCTGCAGGATGGGAATCCCTGTGAGGTGGGTGCAGGCCCACGCAGACAAGCACCACGTCTCTGCTCCAGCCATTCTGACTGCACCGCTCTCTGGGCGGCCTGTCTGCAGCCCTGTGCTGCAGCCCCCAAGATAAGGCCGGTCCACGCTATCTCTGGAAGTCCAAAACAGATGCATCAGAAGGATCCTGTCCCTCTGCGCTGTGACTCCTGCCTGAGCACCTCCCGGGCATCGATGAGCTTATCCTCGCAGCACCCTGAGAGGAAGGAAACGTCACCCCACCGCACTGCTGGGAAGGGAGGCAGAGCAAGCCTGTGGTCTGCTGGAGCCAGGCACATCGCCCAGGGTCCCAGCAGCATCTCCCCCACAGCCACCCTTGTCCCTCTCCCAGCAGCAGGGAGACCAAGATGAGCAGACTTCCCCAGCCGCGCTTGTTCTGCGCTGGGCTGCGTGCTCACGTGCCGGGCTGCAGGGCTGGGGAGGCCTGCACTCCTCCTGCCCGTGCACAGAGCTGCAGGGGCTGAAGGCCAGGGAACCTGTGCACCGGGATGAGGAGCATGCAGAGTCCCCCACTCCGGATCCAGGCATTAAACCAGAAGGAGGTCCCGGTCCCTGTCCCTGTCCCTGTCCCTGTCCCTGCTTGTTCATCCTCAGCGGCGAAGGGCAGGGCAGGGACCTCCTAATCCTGGGGGCCACAGCACAGGGCACCTGCCCATCGCCTGCAGCACTAGGAAGGGATGGGAACACGGCTTAAACGGCAGGGACTGCTGGGGAGGCTGGCGCTAGCCGATGCCTCATCCCTGCCTTGCAGCCGCCAGGCCCTGCACGAGCAGTGATTCACGGTCTGCTCCTGCTGAGGGTTAACCCCGACGCGACACCAGAGCAGATGGCGTCGGTTACTCGGTAGCTGAAGAGCAGTCATGCAAACAAGAGTGTTATTAAGGCCATTTCTCAGAGACCGTCTCCCGTCTATTAATATTCCCAGACACACAGGTGCGCGCGAGCTGGGCCTGGGAGCTAAGAGGGTCAGCTCCCGGGCTGTGGCTGTGCTGCCTGATAGAAATCCTTAACCTTCAGGAGTTCCTGCTTTATAAACAAGATTCACCTCCCCGCTATCTGCCTGGCTCAGGCACGGGGGTGCGGAGGCCAGATCTGAAAGCTGCAGCTAGCACAGCAGATAAATCTCCATGGGAACAATTAGTATTATCTACACTTGATAAACAGTCTCACACCAAATCTACATCCCAAAGGGTGTCATATTCCACTGTAACAGATTTAATTAACGGAGATATTGTCCTGGTGGCAAGTGCTGCATGCGGGCAGGCCAGGCGTTGCTTTACTGGGGCTGCGCGGAGACCCTTGGAGTTGGTGCCGTTAACAAATCGATAGCGAGGGCTTCGGCTCTCTCCAGGGAGCTTTCGTGGCTTCATCTGGTCCAGGAGATTAAATTCCCCGTGAAGGGCTGCCTGGCACGGGGCAGAGCTGCTCTGTCTGAGCGCCCGGCACAGTCCCCCTTCCGGCACGCCGGTTCTTCCTTGTAACACGCAGCCCCGCAGGACGTCACTCTCGGGCGCAGGTCCGGCCTTCTGTCCAGGGCCCTCTGTCTTTCAGCCCATTTCAAAGGATTTCTTAAGCAGTATTATAAAGGGTACTCGGTCTCAACTGCAGTGTAGCCAGACTTTTAGCGATGACATCTGGGACCCCCCTGACGCAGGCAGGCAGCAGTGGGCCGTGCCACGGCTGCTGAATGCATTTTCGCTTTGGGCCCCTGGCATCCTTGAGCCCTCGTGGCAATAGTGAGCGGCTCCCTGCACCCGTGTGTTATGGCGAGGTTCGTGGAGAGGCTTTTCCTGGCAGGACGTAAAGTTGGAGGAAGTTGCACAGCATGGCTGCAAAGGTGCAGGACCTGCAGCAACAGTGAGGAGCTGCGAGCAGGAGGCTGCAGAGACCAGCCCCACAAAGGCCCACTTGGCTCTTTGAAAGGCAGTGGGGATTACTGCGGGGCATCAGAGCAGAGCCACGTGGCACGTGTCCTGGACCTTTCGATGCACCGCGAGCTACGGGGGGGTTCAGGGCTGGAGGCGGCGTGAGCCCACAGGTTCCTTCAGAGGCTGCTCTCCAAGACGGACGTTGTGGCACACGCAGTTCAGGGAAGCAGAAGCCCCGTTGGACGGGGAGCAGCCCTAGGGCTGGGCTCGGCCACTGTCCCCAGCATCCTCCGCATACGTGTGCGAGCCTGTGTCAGCAGGTTTGCTAACACGGGGCAGGAAGATGCTGGACGCTGGCCCCCGGAAGAGGCAGCGCAGCCCTGTCCGTGGTGGGGACGCAGCGACCTGATGTGCTGCCCCGTGCCCAGCGCTTGCAGACGGAGGTGCAGGGGCAGACTGCCAGGCTGGCCCTGTGGCCCCGTCTGCCTCTCCCGACTTGGCTGCATCTCATCACGCAGTGGAGCAGGGTGGGACCTCCCAGCCCAGCGCCTGCGGTGCTGGCGGCGTTCAGAGGTGTTCCTGCAGCTCGCTTCGGCGCCTGGCTGATGCGAGTCTCTGAGGAGAAGGGGATGCACGTCTGGCAAGCTGCAGCAGCGAGCGGTCCCTCCAAGCGTGGAGCCCTTGCAGCCAGCCCACCCTCTCGTCAGGCTGTTGGCAGGGGTCTTCTCCCCACAAATACCTGTGTCGCTTTAGCCGCAGGCCTGGATTTTACGCTGCAGCCCTGGAGACCGAAGCGCGTCCATCAGGAAGCTGCTGGTGTCTGTCCAGCAATTGCCAACTCCGTCCCGCCACCGCTGCCTGTGCCTGGTTCCCGCAGCCTCATGGGCCAGCAGCAGAGGCTGGCTTTGAATGGGATGAGTCCCTGTCCTGGCCTCAGCGGGTTGATGGTCCAGAGTGGTCTGGGGACTTTGGTCACAGTCAAGCAGTGCTGGATCCCCCCCCCCCGTCCAATATTGCTCCCCAGGCCTGGTGCCTCACAGGGCTCTCGGGGCCTGCCTCCCACGTGGCCCTCGAGCCGTCCCGCTGCCGGGTGGAGGCACAGCTCGCTGCAGGGTCGGGCTGACAGAAGAGTTGCGCCTCCTTCCCATGCCAGGCTGAGCTGCAGATGTGACTGGCAGGAGAAACGATTCAGTTGCAGGTTGTTTTTGCTTCCCTCCTGCAGACCCCACGGCCTATTGATCGTATCGGCCCCTCCGGGGCAGGTGGCAGTCGCCTGAGCTCAGCAGGCTTCAGCTCACCGCTCCCCAGCTCGTTACCTAGCACATCGCGCCTCCCAAGCGCTGGATGTGCTTCACCCAAGGGTTCAACCCTTGTCAAAGCAGGGCGTGCCGCTGACCGTGCTGGGGACCCCCAACAGAAAGCACGTGCAGCTTTGCTGTGCCTGGAGCATGACTTCAAGCCATGCAGCCCCCTCATCCTGGAAGGCGTCTCTGCACGGGGGGTCAGTGTGAATTCCTGCCTGTCCCCCCAGCTTTCCCCAGAAAGCTGACTTTAGGCAATGCTGCCAGCGTGCAGCGTGTTCCAGGCGAAGCCGGGCTCTGAGTGCAAATCCAGGTTTCCTGCCTGCAAGCAAGACGGCCGTGAAGGTGCAGCTCTGCTCAGGCCTCTCCAGCTGCTGCAGCCGGGTCGCAACCCGCGCTGTAGCAGCCCCCTGCGCTCGGGGAGCCTCGTGCAGCCCCCTGCTCTGCGCTGCTGGTGGGACAGGCTCGGCTGGGGCTGACAGCACTGCCCTGCCGCCAGTTGCTCGCTGCTAGTGTCCCTGTGGAAGCTCACAGCAAAAGACACCAGGGCTTGATGCAGAAACCCCATGTACAGGTGGTAGGTGGGGGGTGCTTGAGGCGCACGTGGTAATGACCTTGCCAGCGGCGTCTTGAAAGGAGCCATCCCTTCACCTTCCCTGCTGCGAATGGGAGCAGCTGTGCGAACCACTTGGTCTCACGCAAGCAGTTGGGTTGGGGGGTTGCCATTTCACACCCAGAGCATCGTGCGTGTTGTACCGCCCTGAGACAGGGAAGAAGGAGCCGTTACTCTGCGGTTGCGGGTAAAGCGCAGCCACGTGCCTCCCCGTCGCTGTGCTGCTCTCGGGCAGCCTCGCCAGGCAGGAGCTGACAGAGGCTCTGGATGCAGCAGGCTTCAACCACCCAGTTTTTGCAAGACCAACCGGCCCTCGGCACCTGTCATGGCGAGCTGCGCCGCTCAGCTGTCTGCCGTGCTGGCTCTTCCTTAGCTCAAGATTTATGGCTGTTTATGCAATGCAGATAATTGGAGCCACCTGAGGGCGGGCCCGGAGCCAAAGGATGCTCTCTGATGCTGCCGGCTGGTTTGAGCGCGTGGCGCGCCAGCAGCTGGCCCGCTCCACCGCGCGTCTTCTCCCGTTCCAGATCCTGTACAACAGCCAGAGCGTGGAGGTGGACGGCCACTCCATGAAGAAGCTCATCAGCGACCTCCAGCCGGACACGGAGTACTCCTTCGTGCTGATGAACCGCGGCAGCAGCGCGGGCGGGCTCCAGCACCTCGTCTCCATCCGCACAGCGCCCGACGTCCTGCAGAGCAAACCCGTCGCCACCAACAAGTACATACAGGATGGGAAGTTCACCCTCACCCTTCCCAAAGTCCAGACCTCAGAGCCTGTCAGGTAGGTGCTGCCCACGGGTGGACTGGTGAGTGCAAGGGGAGGGGAGAGTCAGCCCTCTTCACGACCCTGCTAATCTGATGACTCCCCGGTGTAAGGCAGGATAAATTGCAGGGCTGCCTGTGCAGCTTGTGTCTTCTGAGCTGGGAGGCTCATGAGAGAGGGCAGGAGCTGTTCCCTCTCCTGCGCTGGAATTGAAACCATCCCAGTCAACCCAATAGAGAATCAGGCAGCACCTTCTCTGGCACTGCACAATATCCCTTAAATAAATAATGTCTGGAAGCCTTGAGGAGATTAAATAAGCCGTTTTCTGGAAGCCTCATCTGTTACCACGCTCTCCTCCTGCCGAAGCACGATCCCCAAGGGTCCCTGCTACGGCATGATGGTAGGAATGTCCTTCCCGCAGTTCCTGCCACTGTCCTCCTGAGTGTGGTCTGTATATCTTCATTACCCTAATGAACGCGAGCAGGGACTGCCTCCCCGCGGCTGGCAAACTGGCCTCTGTCTCAATGAGGCTCTTCTGCTCCTGGCAGAAGGGGCCGGGGGCACGGGGAGGTTTGTGGGGCTGGTCCTTTGCACTGACCTGCTGGAGGAGTCTGTCTGGGTGTCAGCTGCATGCCCTGACCTCTCTCTCCTCCCCAGGTGGTACTACATTGTCGTGGTGCCAACAGACCAAGCCACCAGCAGCCTCACCACCCGCTGGCGGAGCCCCGATGAGATGGAGCTGGACCAGGTAGGAGTCTCTGGGAACCGCTGTCAAAGCCGTCGCTTGCGGCTCCCTCAGGCGCGGCCGGGGCCCTGGGCAAGGGCCTGGCCCGAGGAAGGAGGCAGCCTGGGAGGTGCAGCCCGGGTGATGTCCCTCGTCTCCCCGGTCTGTGAGCGCTGCGGACACTGGTGAACCGAGACACCCCGCTGCCCACGCAGAGGCGGAGCAGTGTTGCATCCCCTTCGCTGAACAGCGGGATGCCCGGTGCTAAACTCTTGCCCTGGCATCATGCTCTAGTCATTCCCAGGACTCCTCCTGCCCTGCCTGCTTCCTCCCGGCACGGGCCCTTCCTCTCCTCCCTGCTTCTCCGGTCTTAATCGCTGCAGCTCTCCTGTGAGATGAAAGCCAAACACATGCCTCCGTTTCCTTTCCTCACTGCTGGTGCCGCACGGGCAGCCCTGCCTTCCCTTACGAGGCTCTGACCTGTCTGTTGCGGGGCCCTGCTTCCAGTGTCTCTGGCGGTTCAGGCTGCCCTTCCCCTGCTGGCGGTTGGGTTCAGGCTACAGGATTTCTGCTAAAACCAAGAGCAAAGAGGAGAGGAAAACACATGGCCGTAAAATTACATCCTTACCCTCCCTTCATTGAGAGGCTCTGGCAGCTCCATGGACTGATGCAGGCTTGGCGTTGGGCCGCGATGCCGGGGAGGTTGAGCCTCTGCCCCGCGCTGCGCCTGTGGAGATCTCGGCTCTCGTGCTTGGCGGGAGCTGGGTAGAGCTGGGCAGTGACGTGTCCCGGAGAGCTGCCTGCTCCAGCCGCTCCCATCTCCCGTCTGCGCTGTACGTGGGTCCTGGAGCAGCTGCACACTGGGCCGCACAGGCTTGCCCCGCAGTCGTTTCTCCTGGTCCCTGGGAACTGAGCAGGGGCAGCCCTGGTGCCTGTGCCCGGGAGGAGGCTGCATGCAGAGGTGCAGGGTGGTGCGGGCAGGTTGGGGTGAAGAAACACCGTGCAGGCCCTGCGACGGGGGAGACGGGTGAGCTCCTCCCCTCCGGAGCCTGGAGCAGAGCCCAGGCGTCCGGCGTCTCGTCACGTCTCTGCTGCAGAACGGCGCCGTGAACCCCCGGCGGTCGGTGCCTCGGGCTCCTGTTAGTGGCTGCCCAGCAGAGCGGATGACAACCTACTACTGTGCCCAGCTACTGGTGCCGCAGGCTGGCGCTTCTGTTCTTCTGCTTGTTTGTTTTTTAAAAAGTACACGCGGCGTCAATCCCTCACAAAGCGGGCTGTTAAAAGGATTTCAAGGGCGCAGGTGCAGGCTCGCAACACGTAGGAAGTGCCAGTGCCGTGATTAGTCCCTCCCGGTGTGTACCGTTATGATACGGGCATTATGGCCACGCCAGTACTCGGGGTTTTATTCCCAGCCCGGCTCAATCTGCATCGGGGGCACGGCGGTGGGCCTACGGAGATGGCTGTTGTGGACTTCCTGCAAACAGAAAGACACGTAGGGAGGGAGCAGGGGGTGCAGGAAGAAAAAGCACGGGCTTGTAGTTCAGGCAGGTGTGTGCTCCTGCGGACAACCGGAGTCTTTCTGGATTCTCCCTCCATCGCGGCCTATGCAGTGCTGGGCCAGTCGCTTGCACCAAGTGGTTCGCGGGAGCCCGCAACCCACAGGCCTTTCTCCTGGGCGTTTTAACGTGCAGAAAAGCTGAGCCCTCCCGCCTGCCCCTGAAGCTAGTGCTCACTTGGCTCTGAAACATCCAGCACTGTGAAAATGCAGCTCTCTGAAAAAGCAGGCCTGGGACTCCCAAAATTAGTGGCCATTTTTCATGGGAATGTCCCTGTGCCTTGGGTCTGTGTCTGTAGCATGGGGGCAGCGCGGGCCGGCTCACCTGACTGGGCATCTGGGAGCCACTCGAAGGCTGTAGTTGTACGTGGCCCAGAAAAGTCCCTGAGGAAATCAGTGAGGCTGAGCTAAAATAGTGCTGGTGTAAATCCAGGCTGGAGCCGTACCCTGGCCAGGGCAAAAACAACCTACAACTGCACGTGCTCCCCTGCACCTTGAACGAAGCAAGGGGCCTGCGGGGCAGCACTGGCCAGCTCGTCATCCTGCTACCCGTAACGCACGTGCACGAGCGGGCGGAGTGACAGCTGCCATCAGCCTTCGCGCTGGCATTCGCCCACCTCTCGGGGACCGGCGCTGCCCTGAGCCGAGTTAACGCCGTCCTTGCAGAGGTCGGACGCACAGGTGACGGGTGCACCCGCAGGCCTCCAGCTGACCGGGGAGGGAGGACGGGGTGCAGTCTTGTGCGCTGATGTGCCCCTCTGCTGATGCAACAAGTAGCCTTTTGCTGCCCGGATATTCAGGGGTGTTTTATCCATTAATCGCCGCGCGTTTCCTCTGCTTGAGAATTAAGCACAGCGAGGGGCGGGGGGCGACGCTGAGCCCTGCAGGGAGAAGGCAGCCTGGGCTACCTGGGCTCGCTGGGACTGCAGCAAGGGGGCTCGCCTGGCGGTCCCTTGCAGCAGGTAGCAGTCCCCCCGGGAGTGGCTGGGACGTGCTGCCTGGTCTTCCCCATGCACCCTGCCTTTCTCCCTTGCAGCAAGGGCAAGCGTCACCGCTCTCCCAGCAGCTCCCATGTTCCCAGGGCATGGTGTGCCTGCAAGGACCAGGCTTCTCCATCCCCTTCAGCCTCCTTCCTTGGCCAGTGTCGCAGCTCCTGCAGCAAACTGTGCCTTCCCAAGTCACTCCAGGCAGGTGCCTCGATCCGGCTGGGAGAGGAGCAGCGCCATGGGTTTTAAAGGACATCTCCAGCTAGGAGGAGGCTGGCTTGCGAGAGCTCTTAGCGGGGCAGCTGCGTGCAGGTATCGCGGCTCCCAGCCCCGTGGTGGCTCTGAAGTTGCCTGTCTGCTCTGACAAAGCCGTGCCAATACATTTTTGTGTGAAATGTATTTCATGCCTCCTTCATTTTAAATTAGAATTTCTGTTCTGAGCCTGACATTCATTTTTATTCATTAGAAAAACATCTTTAAACATCTGAGAGTCTTTCTTAGCGGCGTAATTGAATTTTTGTGTGTTTATATCCTTTTTCATGAATTTGTGGCTGACTATGAAATTTGCCATTTTTGCTCTGAACATCCCATGAAATCTGTTATCACTCTGTGTGATTTACACAAAGCTCTGCCTGCAACCAAGCAGCAGGTGAAATCTGGGAGCACCAACAGAAGGGAGAGACACAGCACGTCACTTTTTTCCCCCACCTCTGCTCTTGCTGTAATTCACGCCCAGCGTCTGTGGAGCTGCTGTCCGTACCAATGCAGGCGGCGGGACGTGGCCTGGTTCCCCATGCAGTCAGCGGGGTGCATTAACCCCTGGGCAGTCCCTGCACCCCACCGCCCAGACGTGTCTCGCCAGCGCCGGCCCCTGCTGGTAGGGGCCCAGGCAGCACCATCAGTAGCCAGCGCCTCAAGGAAAGATACCTCCCTTAAGCCCGTTGCTTCCAAATCCAGCCAGGCACTTATTCCTCCCCTGCCTTCAGCTCAGCGCGGTCTTGCGGTGAAGTCATAGATCACTGCCTGCCTTTGACACCAGCCCATTGCCGTGGAAATGAGCATGATGTCATAGGTGCAGCGTTCTGCCTCGAGTGCGGGGTCCAAGGGGGGCAGGGGCTGCCGTAGCCTCGCTGCAACACGCGAGCGGGCAGCGACGTGCCGTGGTTCACGCGCCAGCCCCCCGCCGCCCAGTCCTGGGTCCAGGTTCTGCGCCACCGAGCAGGCACGGCGTGCGCCGCGAGGGCAGCATGGGGCGATGCGGTGACCCAGCCTCTTTCTCCTCAGTTACTCGAGGCCATCAACCAGGGGAGCCAGGGCAGGCGCCAGCGCCGCCAGGCCGAGCGCTTGAAGCCGTATATCGCTGCTCAAATGGACCTCCTGCCAGAGACCTTCACTTTAGGGGACGAGAAGAACTACAAAGGCTTCTACAACAAGCCCCTCTCGGAAGACCTCAGCTACCGCTGCTTCGTGCTGGCCTCGCTGGAGGACGGGGATACGGTAAGGGCCGCGTGCCGCGGGCCGTGCTGGGGATCAGGGCTCGGCTCGGGTAGCAGGAAGCGGGGTTGGGAGCCTGGTAAGTGGAGCTTGCTGCAAAGAGAGCAGCGGAGCTGAGGGGCTGGTGTCAGCGAGACGAGGCATCCATTGGAACCGACTTGATGGATGGTGTTTTCGGAGGGGAACAGCATGTGTATCTGCCATAACGGATGAGCGCGGGGGGTGGCATTAGGCAGAGCCAAGCTTTGCGCCCGCTTGCTGGGTGATTCCCACCAGCAGCGCCGAGACGTGGCGCTGATGGATGCAAATTCCTCAAACGTGCTATCGCCAGGAGACATGAGCCTTGCCCAGGCCGAGCCCCTCCTGCGTGCTCAGCACAGTCAGAGCCTGGGAGCAGCCTGCACGGGCTCGAGCCGCCCCGGCACTGACCTGGTGCACTGGGCTGCGGGTCCAGCCGCCCAGCTGCGAAGAAAACCACGAGGCCCACCGCCTGAGCACAGCCAAAGCAGAGAGGGGTCTAAAGGAGCCTGGGAGCTGCCCAGGCAGTGCTGGTTTAACATTGCCGTGGTTAACGCTGTTGTCCTGCGCGCGAGGAAGCAGGAGGCCGTAGTGTGGCCACTCGCGTGGGCAGCATCTGCACCCAGCCAGCCCACTGGCTGTATCGTTCCAGTCCCGCTGCTGCCGGGCACGTCCAAGCGCAGCAGCGCGGACGCCTCCCCGGGCCCTGCGCAGCAGGCTTGCATGCTTGCGTGCTGCACCGCGGTGGCAGAGACGAGTCCCACGGGCTGCCCTGTCCCCAGGGCTCTGGGCAGGTCGGGTGTTAGAGGGGAGCTTATGTGGGCACTGAAAGAGCCCTGCTTGAACGAGGCATGCAAGGACCTCTGTGCAGCCTGTGCCCACAGCAGTAGCCCCTCCACTGCGTCCCCTTCGTGGGACCCCCATGCCCAGCACCTCTCTGCACCAGCAGACAATGCCATGCACCCGGAGGGTTGCATCTGGGGCCAGCAGACAGGTGCGTGGGGAAGGGCTGGCTGCTGCAGGAGCAGCCCGCAAGAGCCCACGGGAGGGCGGGAGAGGCATGATGTGTAAATAACAGGAAATAATAGAGCTGCTCCGGCCCCACTGCCCAGCTCCCAGGCTGGGGCTCCCTTCCTCGGCCTCGTTTCCTTGTCATGGCTCATTAGCCCTGGTCAAACTCTTCATTACTCATCCAGCCCTGGCGGGTCCAGCAAGGTGCAGGCCGCAGCAACCGGGGAGGGCGGTGAATTCCCACCAGGCCCAGCAGAGCCGCGATCCCCCTGCCCAGCCAGGCCCTGCCTGGGTGCCCCGGAGACACTGCCCACAGCCACCACCCTGTGCTGGGGACGGGCTGGACCCCTCGCTGTGCCGGGTCGACCTGCCGCAGGCCTCCCGAGGGGCAACCAGCCAGCAGTTACTGCTCTCGTGCTGCAAGCCCCCGGGCCCCTGTCTGTGTCACCCCGCGCATGGGGCCCGTTTTCAGCTGAAGCACGGCCTGTCCCGTGGCGGGGCTGCCCTTCCCCCCACGCTCCTCCAAAATCACTCACTGGCGGCGCAGCATCCGGTGCCAGGGGGACTCAGCCGAGCAGGAACATGACCCAGGCGTCTTTCCATAAATGAGTGACGTCCCAGCTGCTAGGTGTGAAGAGCAGCGGGGAGCCTCCCCCACAGCCGCCTTCCCCCCAGCCCTCCCACCCACGCCAGGTCCCGGGAGAGCATAGGAGCAGCAGGCTCTGCATTGCAGGCCAAGCTGCTCATCCATGTCCCCTCTGCATTGCTGGCTTCAGAGGCCCTGCGGTCTTGTCAGCAACCCAGGAGCCCTCCTGCCAACAGGAGGAGAGGAAAAGGGACCTGCAGGACCCCATGGCCTGTCCAGGCTCACACCCACCCCAGCACAGGCCCATGGCAGCACTCCCAAAGAAGCCAGACCCCATCCACAGGGGCCTCGCAGGCCGTCACGCCGTCGGATGCAGCCAGCAGCGCACGTCACCCTTGCCCACAGCTGGGCAGATGTCACGGATAAGAGCCCTCTGCGTACTCGCCGCGTATCTGAAGCCAGGCGGGGGGATCAGGGGCACCCAGGAGAGGAGATCAAGCCGCGCGCTGGTGCGACTTGCATGTGCGCGCTGTTGCTGTCCTCCCCTCGCCTGCACGGCGACGTGGAGCGCGTGCTTAAGCTGGGACCTGAAGGCAGACTCCTAGCAGATCCGCCAGCCCCTCTGCAGCGACCGGAAACTTTCTCTCTGCTGCAAGAACAGAGCATCTCTGGCTCCATAGCACAGGGCAGCAGGTGCCGCTCCAGGAGCCAGCAGCACTGAGCTGCTACCGCTTTGCGCTCCCTAATAGGTGGAAAGGATTTCTTTTCGCAGTATTTAACCCTTCTGACCCAGCAAGGCTGAGCTGCAAAGGGAGAACGCGGAGCCATAAGCCTTAGCAACAGCGGTGTGACAAGCCGGGTGCAGCAGCTCTTTCTGCAGCTGTGCTAATCTTGCCGTGCTGCCTGCATCCCCACGCCAGCAGCTCCCGGGATTCTCCCATCGGGGCGGCTCGCAGAGACCCACGGTCTCCAGAGCCCTTTGCCAAGGCACTTTCCACCAGGGTGGGCACCCCGAGAGGGAAGGCAACCACCATGGTTTCCACTCCTTAAGGAGTTCGCCTAGCAGGGGAGCTCCCCGGCTGCAGCGCTGGGTTCACACCGGCGTGGTAGGTACTGTGAGCCACGCAGCACCCCCAGCCAGCCCTGCGACGGGCTGAGGGGCTGTCGGCTCTCGGGAGCCTGGTGCCGGTGAGGCTCTCCCAGCTGGGCGGCTCTGTCTGGGTGCTGCGGGCGCTGGCTCTGCTGGAGGGCGAGCGGCTCCGTCTCTTGGGGAGAGGCGGCGGGTTGGGCCTGTGCCCAGCTGTTTGCCGCTGCTCGCGAGGCAGGGTGCCCGAGGGATGCTCCGTGGCCTGGCGGCTTCCTCTCACTCGACGGCTGTTTGCTTTTCTCTGCCTCCCCACCCACAGAAGAGGTACGCCGCCAGCCCCTACTCAGACGAGATCGTGATGGAAGTGTCCTCGGCAAAGCACCAGGATGAGCCTGAGATGCTGTGGGTGATGGGACCGGTCCTGGCCGTCATCCTCATCATCATCATCGTCATCGCCATCCTGCTCTTCAAAAGGTGAGTTCCTGCCCAAGCCTGGGCAGCCCCACGGTCAGCTCTAGGCCCCCAGGGACCAGGGGGCAACTCCAGTGCCAGGTGCCCCCCGGGGCTGTCCGTGCGGCAGGCACAGGCCCAGCGCGGGTGGGCAGCAGAGCAGCTGAAAGCTCACGGCAGGAGAGGGGTGGGGGCCTGCGGCAGCTCGTGCAGCTCACCCAGGGCAGAGCCGCCCTGTCACAGGGCCAAGGAGAAGCTATTTCTGCCCTGGTGCCCCTTTAGGAGTCGGACGGTGCTCAGGCCTGGCAGCTTGGGTCCAGGTCCCCAGGGCAGCGTCCAGTACCCAGGTTTCCCGGACAGCCTGGCCTGTCCCTGCGTGGAGGGAGCTGGCCCCACTGGCTAGTGCCGGGCAGGGGCGTGCAGGGCCATAACAGCGCAGACGTTCCTTGCCACCTCCTCGTGCCCCTCGCAGCTCTGGCCACCAACCTGGTGCTGCGGGCACCCTGCTGTGTGTGAAGGAGCAGCCCACTAGTGCCAGACGCGGGCCACGAGCTCCGTGGCAGGGTGCTGCATCACCACGCGGCACGGCCCCACTCCCCTGGGGCTCGGTTGGCCTTGGGGCTGTTGCCCAGAGATGGGGGCAGGGCTGTGTGCGGGGTGGGGGGTCCTTTTCCATGTCACTGATCACCTCCTTTCTTCTGTTTCTGCTCTGCTTTGGACCTAGCAAACAAGAAAGGTAGGAATCAATTTTCTCCTGCTGCTTGGCTGAGGGCTCAGACCGGCTCCCCTCCTTAAACCCCGGCAGCTGGAGGGAGTCAGCAACACCCCGGCCCCATGGCTTCCCAGTCCCACGGCTTGCCCAGGGGCGCTGGCACTGGCACCTCTACCCCTCCGGCAGCCAGCTGCCACTCGGGAGCCCTCCCCACCTCACTTGGTCAGAAACACATGCATCCCTGGGGATTCGTAGATTCACAGGAGCTCGGGTCAGTAGGGACCGTAGCAGATCATTGAGTCCGACCCCCTGCCCTGGGCAGGAAAGAGCGCTGGGGTCAGACGACCCAGCCAGGTGTGTGTCCAGCCCCCCCTTAAAGACCCCCGAGGTAGGGGAGAGCACCTCCTCCCTTGGGAACCTGTTCCAGATTCAAATGAGCATCTCTGGCCTCCTGGTCCCCCAGAATCTGGGCCTCGCGGCTGAGGACCCAAGGCCATTAGCGTGCAACATGGACCGGGGCTTCCCGTGGCCAGTGCTGTTTGCTCCCAGCTTCCCCGGGCTGCTGTGAGGCCTGGGGCCACGGTGCTGACTCCAGACGATGCTGTCTGCGAAGGTGCCGCCTGTGCTCAGCTGCGCAGGGCAAACCTTGGGGTCTGGCGGGGGGCGCAAGGGGTCCTGCTTGCCGCAACACACAACACACCCGGGTTTGGGGGGCTTTGCTGGAAAGTGCACAGATGCAGAGCCTGCACCCACCCATCTCACCCAGTCCCTCTGCACAAGGACCCCTGGGTTATGGGCCTGGCCTGGCCCCGTTTCATCTCGGCACCTGTGGCCTGCTCGGTGCTGCAAGGAGATGGACTCCATCCCGGCTGCCCCGTGCTCAGCATCGGGGGCCCGTTCTCCTGGCCTGAGGGGACGGCAGTCTCCAAGGGTGTCCCAGCAACCCCCGTGCCGAGGCCATATCCAAAGGCTCCTCTTTGGAGGGGTTCCCTCCCCTGGGTATTTGTGTTGCAAATGAAACCATGGATGAAAACACGGTATCCCACTGGCAGTAAAAGTCAGGCATGGGGAGAGCCTGGGCTGTAGTCCCGCAGGAGCCCTGGTTGCAACCTGGGAGCAAACAGACGTTCAATACAACTCTCTGCTCCTGTCTGCAGAAGAAGCCAGGCCACGCCGCCCACGGACGTGTGCAGCTGCGCATGGCTCAGAGAGCAGGGCTGTGCCCGCACTCTTCATTAATTCTCCAAGCCTTTGAGCTTTCTGCTCTGGGCTCAGAGAGGCAGAGGGCCTGTGAGATGTGTGGGTGATGCAGGGCAGGGAAGGGATTACGTGCTGTTGGGCACTTCCAGCATCTTCCAGTCCCATTGTGCAGAGCAGCCGCCCGCAACCAGGGCTCTGCACATGGGCCGGGGCCCCCAGCGCGAGTACAGGGTTCACTCGCTACAGAAAATTCAGTAACTTGCTAACGGTTCGTGGCATTTGTCTGTCGTGTGCGCGGCTTTGCACCAAAGTAGTCATGCCTCTGCTTGGCCGAGCCCCCGCATGACCCAGGCCTCCAGCACTCTGACAGTGGGCAGGACGCAGCCGCCGTGAACGATGCCCATCTGGCAAAGCAAAGAGTATCCGATCCCGCTGCCAGGCAGTGAATTTAGGCAGAGGCAAGTGAGCGTTTGCCCAGAGAGCCAGGGACGGCCTCCTCTGACGCAGGCAGCGCCCGGGCTCTGGACAGATCCTCCACAAGGCTGCACCCCGCAGCACTGGGGCCTGTCCCAGCTCAGAGGAGCTGCCCCTGCTGCTCCCCGTGGCATGGCTGGGCAGTGGCGTCAGCTGGGGCAGCAAGAGGAGACCACCTCCAGCCAGCGCCCTGCATCCCAGCACCCAGCACCGACTGGGGAAAGCGTCCCCCCCTCCCTATAGCACAGCACCCTCCGGTGCCACGCCGGACAGCTCTGGGCTGTTGTAAGCCAGGTGGGGAGAAGTTCTTAGCAAGGCCCCGTGATGTCTCCGCGTCCTGTAGCAGCCTCCCAGGCAGTTACCAAAGAGCCCGCCCTGCCCAGCTGGTGATTTCTGCCAGGACCGGAGCCAGAGGAGGTGGCATAGCTGTAGGCATAAATATAGCATTAAGAGACAACAGTATGTTTTATTGTTCCATTAATACACGCCTGGGGTGCCTTCGGCCATTCAAGACTTGTATTAATGGCTCAATAAAACACACCCTGAAGAGCCTTTACGCTATTATATTACAGCGCTCGACATTTAAATATTTTTTTAATACTTAAGCAAAATTTGAGTAGATCCTTCCACGACAGGAAATAGTTCTTAGAGAGCGGGTAGGGAGCAGCGGGTTTTGCTTCTGTCTTGCTTTCCTCTCGCAGCGAGGGTGCGGACTCACCTCGTTCCACCCTGGGGCATTTCTGGGCGGGGGCGCAGGGAGAACCGGGGAACCCACAGCATGGTTGGATAAGCGTCTTGCCCAGGGCCCCGCAGAGAGGCCGTGGCAGAGCTGGGCATGGTGTTCGGGAGTCCGGCTCCATCAGTCCACACGTGAGGCCTCCAGCACGGTCCTTGGCTGCAGCCCCAGTGCCACACGAACACCCAGGCTCCTGGGGGCTGACGTCCACTGGTGAGGGCAGAGGGGAAGCCAGGGCACGTCGCAGCCTCCCTGCATGCCCTGTCCGTAGGTGGAGGCGTCCATGTGTATGTGCAGCCCTGGTGCCGGCCGCGCTGCTGTGTCTGCCCCATGGCCTGGGCCGACTGCAGCCCCCGTGCTGCCCCTTACCCTGCATTTTCCTTCCCCAGGAAAAGGGCTCACTCCCCCTCTTCCAAGGATGAGCACTCGATCGGCCTCAAGGACTCCCTGCTGGCCCACTCCTCCGACCCGGTGGAGATGAGACGCCTCAATTACCAGACCCCAGGTAGGACACTGCGTTCAGTGCCCCTGCCCCTTGTCTGGGCGCCTCCTGCGCCCTCTCCGAGCCAGTGCACCGCGGAGGGGAGTTGGACCTCGTCTCCTCCTGCCGGTTCTGCACCGTCCCAGCCAAGGGCACAAAACCCTGGGGGCTGGCTCCAGACTTCCTGGTCCCTGCTGCCTGATCTGAACACACATCTCACCCAGCTCCGTTACCACTGGCACGTGGTGCCCAGAGAGGCCCAAAGCATGGGCGCCCAGCGCATTGCATGTGTCAGGCCTCTCCCCTTCCGGCTGCTAAGACTTGTCCCCCACCTGACGTGTCTGCAGATATCACAGGTCAGAAAGAGGGCCCATCCAGGGAGGGGGTTGCACGGGGAGAGCAAACGAGCTGGACGCTGGCCCCATGCTAGGAGTCTCGGGGCAGGGGAGGATGCTTCTGCCTGCTGTCAGGCCTGGCTGTGCAGGGGAAGGGGCAGCAGGATGAGACCCCAGACCCTCCAGCCTGCACAGGCTGCTGCACAGGGCACGTGCTGGTGGAGGCCATGCATGCACATGGCGGTCTTCACCAGCTGCTGAGTCCTGCCTGCAGAGCCTTGCTGTAGCGTGTCCCTGTGCTGCCCCGTGCAGGCTCGGCCTCAGCCAGCCGAGGCCCCGGCTCTGTCCAGTGCAGAGCAGTCTCATGCCGCTGCTTTGTAGGGCAGCATCTCTGCTGGTGCTGAGCGTGCCACAGCTGCTGTTAGGGTGTTTGGAGACTGCCTTGCTCGGGTCCCAGCCCTTGATTCAGCCCGGGGGCCTCCAGCGCTCTCGGCGGCAGGACAGTGAGCTCTCGCAGAGGCCACGTGTGGCTCTTTCCTGCCTGGTGACGTCCCCCATCTGTAACCTACTTTCCTCTTCCCCTGCTGCTCCTGTTAGAGGCTTTTGTCTCAGCGCAGGCGTTTGAAGGCAGCGGTTCCCGCTGGAAGCCTGCTGTGCCTGGGAGGGAAGTCGCCAGCCGCCGCAGCTTGTCACCCTGTGCCCTGGCCTCCCGGCTCTCTGCCGAGGCAGCAGCCTGGCCCGCAGCACTGGCCCCGGGTGCTGGACAGGGTCGGGAGGAGCGGTGCGTCTAGGAGGGTCAGCCCAGAGCCGGGGGAGCTCCAAGAGGGGCCTGACCGCAGGTGTGTGCTGCAGGACACAGCAGCCGCCCTGCGGTCGGTCATGGGCAGTGGCTTCCCCAGGACAGGAGACAAGGCACGTAGTTTGCAGCAGCTTGAAGTGGCTCTCCTCCGTCTCAGGGAGCCCTTGGCTTGGGGGAGACGAGAGCCTGCAGCCAGGGCCATGCCAGGCACTGGGCTGCCGTGCGGGCGGAGGTAGCAGGAGGAGCAGCAGCAGGCCAGGCAGCCCCGGGGCAACGGGGACGACTAAATGCAGGTGTCCCTAGGCTGCCTGTGCCCCGGGCTCCTGCTTTCCAACCCCTGTGCCCACCCTGCCCCTGCCCCCTCCACATGCACACAGCAGCCACGGCCGTCAGGTCCACGTAGCTCGTCTAGCCCAGGGCAGCCAGGCTGGCTCCCAGCCCCGCAGGGCTCTCGATGCTCTCTCAGCTGCTCTCCCTACAGGCCCCCAGCACGCAGGTGCCCGAATGCACTCGGAGGTAGGAGCAGCGCAGGCTGGAGTCAGCAATGACCGGGCCAGTTCCTCTCTCGCTTGCGGTGCTGCTAACGAGGCTCTGCAGCTCAGTTGGGAAGTCACAGGGCTAGAAAAGAGCCAGCGAGCCCGCACGGATGGGTGAGGGGGCACGGAAGCCACCAGGCCCAGCAAGCCGGGGGTGCCCAGTGCCTTAGCTCTCCCGTCACAGCCCCACAATGCCAGGCCAGCACGGTGCTGAGATGGCTGGGGATCACACACCAGAGATGCTGGCAGTCAAGTTCGCACAGTCCACCAGCTGATAGCCCTGCCGGAGAGCGGAGAGGCAGGGAGAACCTTGTTTAATGCATAATTAATTGAACTGCCATTATTAAATATTAAGCCATATCACTTTAATGGTTCCTACTTCAGATGCAGGTGGTTTTGCGGATTGTCGGCCTCTCTGTACCCATGTCCCATGTTGCCGAGCTGTGGAGAATCAGCAGCAGCGCAGTGTCTCGGGCAGCGTTAGGCTACGGGAGGGCAAGGCCCCCGGCACCGAGCCCTGCTGGCTGCCGGGACGCGACCAGGCAGGAGCCGCAAGACATGGGCCTGCCAGGGCAGCTGCGAGCGTGTGCCGGCTTCCCTAGGCCTGGGGAGAGGCTTTTCTGTCCCAGCACATCCCCTCCCTGCCCCCGGGGCCGGGGCAATAGCACCGTCCAGAGCCGGGGATCAGGGGGTCTCTTTGGAGGCCAGGGCTGTGGGCAGAAAGTCCATCCGGCCCCCAGCTTGAAGCGGCGTCTCCGTTTCTGCACCAGCCGGAGCAGCTGTGTCTCAGGCTCGGGCCAGGCTGGGCCTGGCGCAGAAGGGGCTGGACCCCCTCCCTGCCCCACGGCCGACTCCGCTCTTTCCCCTGCATCCTCATCTCTCTGTCTCTCCATCTCTGAACCTCTGCAATGATGTCTAACAGCTAATGGGTTTCTGTTCTTGCCCCGTTTTTGTTTTTTTTCTTTGCAGGTTCCAGTGTCCCCAGTTGCCCGAATATCTCAAGTTAGTTTCCGCTCCTCCTGTATTTATCTCAACACCTTTTGCTTTTCTCTCTGTCCCCCTCCCCGTCCCCTCGTCTCAGTCCATTCCGTCTCGATGTCATGAAGGTCACCTTCACGTGCGGCAGGCGCGAGGGCCCGCGGGGCCGCTCTCTCGCGCCGGTCACAGGCCCTGCGCGGCCCTCGTTCTGGGGTGGCTTGCACGGCACTACAGCATGTCGGCGCAGGGGGACCATGCCGGGCGCCCAGCTCGCTCCCGACTTGACGGCGCTTCCCTTCACCGCTGCACGCAGGCCCTGTCCTCGGCTGCCCCGGGCCCGGCCGAGCCAGGCGCATTGCTGCCGCGGCGAAGCTCATCTCGGGTGCGGTGCAGGGCGGGAGAGCCCGGCCATCCCCGGAGGAGTCTGAGGAGACACGCAGGAGGGCGCACCAGGGCCCAGGGGTTGAACACACTCTCCTTTCAGCCTGCGAGCTGCAAAGGGAATTTGGCTATCGGGTCAAGAGCGGAGGCACAGGGCAGTGCAGGAGGGTGCTCTGGCACAGCTGGGAGCAGGCCTTGCGCCCAGGGTACCGTTCTGCTGCAGCCCCCAACACCCGGCATCTCAGGCCGGGACAGGCCCTCCGCTCCGTGCCTCTCTTCCAGCGTGGTCGGCAGTCTTTGCTGTAAATGCTAAGCAAGGAGACCCTCAACGGTGCCAGGGCGAGGGGCAGAGCCCCCCGCCCCTCCACGCTGCGAGCCGGTCCTGCTCCGGAGCTCAGCAGAGAGGGAGCAGCGTGGCGTGTGTGTGCGAGCGCACCGGGCTCTGCGCAGCCCCCTGCTCCCTTGGGTGACGGTGCTGGGAGCACTGTCCTGCCCTCGGTAGCAGTCACGCACAGGGATGCTCCCGCGTCATCGCCCAGTGACTTGTCACCTCCGCACAGAGCGCCCGGGCCCCGAGTGGCAGCAGCTCTGCTGCCTGGGCCGCCCGTCGCCGCCATCTGTGCCGCGCACGGCGGCTCCTGGCCTGGCTCCAGCCTGCCTCCCTGGTGTGAATCAGCAGCACGGGCCTATTAATAACAGCGATTGCCCACGCGGGGTTTCTGGGAAACCCATGAGCTGCCGGGAGCCTGTGTGGGCTGCAGTTCAGACGAGCCACTTTGCAGCCACTCTCCAGCTGGTTCCCCGTCCCTGCCACGGGGCGAAGGGACCGTTGGGGTCTGGGCTGCACGCCCCAGAGGCTGCAATGGGGCTCCCTCTGCTCTCGCTGCTGCCCCTGAGCGCCTCGCTGTCTCTCCTGGGGGGTGTTGTGCAGGGGGCTGCTCCTCCAGCTCTTCCCCAGGACAGGGTACATGCCAGGCATGTACCAAACCTCCCAGCAGGCTCCAGACCACTTGCTCTGGTGCTGTAGGGAGTGGTGGGGGTTTCTCCCCATGGGATGCCTGGCCGCACCTCAACTCGCCCCTGCCTTCCCAGGCTGAGCAGCAGCGAGCTCAGCGGTGATGGCCCAGGTGCAGGTGGCGGGGCACAAGGCAGCCAGCCCAGCGACTGGGAGTCCCCAGCCCTTGTCATGTGCGCAGGCTCCCTCCTTCCCCCAGGTGCTGGGGGCCCCGGGCTCGCAGGTCTGCAGGGCCCGTCACCGTTCTTTGTTTGCTCTTGCAGGCTCCTGCGGTAAGGGGCCCAGGGCCTTCTCTGAAAAAGGACGCTTCCTCGGGCTCTGGGAATCCTTAGGGCGGTGGTTCTCAACCTCCTCAGACTCCAGGCTTAGTTTTCACGTGTTTTTTGCCTATGGAAAAATAGTAAAGCTGTTTTTTTCTGTTGCAAAGACCTCAGGAAGACCACAGCTGTGGGTTTCTGTTGAAATCTCTGGGTTCCTCTTGTGAATCATGTTGGCCCACCTAGCCATGCAACATGGTGCGGCACCCCGACGGGATCTTGAAGCCTGGCAGAGTGCCGTAGCACTCGGGCTGAGAAGCACTCCCTTAGGAGTTAGCAATGAGCCAGGGAGAGCCTCTGGAAGCCAGTGTGTTCAACTCCAGCCTGGGCAGGAGCCCCTGGGAGAGCGCGGAGGTTTGCTCGGCCTGTTGGCACGACAGGGCTCCCCCTCTCTCAGGGCCTCGAGGCCCCGTGCCAGCTGCGAGAGTGCATAGGCCCTGCCCCACATGCCCGGTTGCTGTAATGCCCGGCATGCTCACCCGGCCATGAACATTTCTGCACATCACCTTTCTTTTCTGTCCACTGCCCCGTGTGCTCAGAGTGCGTGCCGCATGCCGTGTGAGCTCGCCGACCTCCCATCCATCCCGCCCGGCGCTTCACATCGTCACGCGTGTCCACGTACCGTCCTCCGCGCCCGCGTCTCTGGTTTGCTGTGCACATGCTGCTGTTGAGCGTGGCTCTCCCCGTGTGCCAGGCGGTAACCGTGTCCCCTCCCGCTCTGTTCCGTCTGGCAGGCATGCGCGACCACCCGCCCATCCCCGTGACCGACCTGGCCGACAACATCGACCGGCTCAAGGCCAACGATGGACTGAAGTTCTCGCAGGAGTACGAGGTGAGCCCGGGAATGAGCTGCCCAGACTAGCCAATGTCGGCACTGTGCCAGGCAGAGCCCGTGGGGGGACAGACTGGAGGGCCTAGCGGTGCCTCATCTGCTAGACATGCTCCCAGTGCCCCTGGGGAGGCCGTGCGGGGCCTGCCAGCTCTCCACGTGGGTCTCAGTCCCAGGACCTGCCCTGGCATGGTGGAAGCAGTCCCTAGCAGGAAGGAGCTTGCTTGTAGCCCTACCACACTGCAGCCATCCCGTGGCAACATGCACGAGCCATGCGTGCTCAGGGAGCAGGCTGGCACCACATGTTGCACTGTGGAGCAGTCACTGATGGCCAGGCTGATGCGGACGTCCTGGGGTACCCCACGTGCACGCTTTCCTCACACTGCCCCTCGGTCCTGACCCACGGGCCCTCCTGTCCTAGCCAGGGTTCCCATACATAGGGCTTTGCCAGCACCCCCAGCCCTGGCCTGAAGACTGCCCTCTGCTCTCAAGGCCCTGCACCCCTTTTCCCCCAAACCCTGTTAGGTTATTTCAGTCCTGCCCACTCCCGAGCACAGAGCATGGCCGATGTCCCCCATCCTGCATGCACGCAGCATTGCCCGATGCCTCCTGCCCCTGCCCAGAGTGCCAACCCCACCCCATTCCAGGGAGGAGAGCTCGCCAAACCGGGGGGCTGGTGGGGTGGCGTAAGAGCATCAGGTTCTGGCTGTGTCTGTCCCTGCTGTGTTGTGCACTCCTCTTCCCAGGCTGGATGATGGGTCTGAAGGATGACGCTGTTAGGGGACGTTCCCACACAGCCGTTAGAGCTGCTGTGCCAGGATAAATGTTTGCCTGCGCTTCCAAGCAGCCCCTCCAGGACCCACTCCAGCTGCATGGGCCTTAAATCATGAATAAAGCCCCTGCAAGCATTGAGAGGGAATAAACTTGGGAAGCGTCCTCTGCATGCATCGGCACTGCCACCTGTATTGTCACCTGTTTGTGCCAAGGGGCTCCCTTTGCTGCAGCAGAGCTCCCTGGATTTATGGGGTGTGACCAAGACGTTTATCTGCAAGGTGAGATTGTACATGCCGGGAAAGAGGGAGCCATCTTGCTGGAGGCGAGGGCCACACTCCAGCCAGCCAGGAAGGTGCAGCATGGGTGGAGGATGCAGGACGGGATAACCGAGTGGGTGGGTTACCTGACGTCGGGCACATGGGGTGTTCTCTCTGGGCACACTGTGAGCTTGCACGTGTGTGAGGGAGCGGTCCCCGTGCAGCGGGGGTGCATGCCCGCCTGCTGCATTGGTTCCCACACTCACATCTTCCGGCCCGATGCCCCTTGGTTGAAACCAAGCCCTGCCTTGAGCCGGCTCAGTCATGGCTGAAGGCTGTCCGGAGGATGCTGCTGTTCCATGCAACCTCCCTTGCTCCAGCTGCAGCTGTACAAAGCCTGCAGCTCAGCACTGGGCCTCTGCCCCATCTTGGGAGGTGGCACGAAGTGCATTGCGCGGGGCACTCTCCTCGCTTCCCCCTCTGGAGAGCATCCAGGCTGGCAGAGCAAGCTGGCCGGTGACGCTGCCCATCTGAGCTGCCGATGGTGGTGGCGTTCTTTCCCTGCCGCCCACCGTGCTTGGCTCTGGATCTGGGTGAATCACCAAACACGAGCGGGACAGAGCGTGGGTGCTGGAAAGTAGAAAGTCACATCCTTGTCAGCGGCAAGGGGACAGGGGCTCAATGCAGCTGTCTTCCAGCCCGAGAGGCCTCAGCTCAGAAAACCCTGGGCAAGACCTGCACCAGGTGCCCTTGGTCTCATCCTATTTGGTTCGTGCCCGCACCAGAGCTTGGCTCCACTAGCTGTCCTCTTGGTGCGGGGGGCAGAGGGGCTGCTGGGCAGGACGGAGAAGCCTTGCTGGTTTGAATCGGGAGCGTGGGGACATTCTGCAGAGATGAGGGCAGGCAGCACGGTGCAGCGCCCCAAGAGATGGCCGCACAGCTCGGCGCACACGCTGCAATAGCCCCTGCCCTGGCTTCTCCACTCCACCAACCGCCCCAGGCCTGTGCAACTGAGGACGGTGCTGGCAGAGCCGAGCCCCTCCTGTCTGGCTGCAGGAGGGCAGCGCATGAAGGAGGCCACAGGAAGAGGCATGTGGGTTGCAGACCACCCCTGAGCCCACGTACTGTCTGGTTAACTTCAGCAAGAGCCACATGCGAAGGGTTTTCATGGCCTAAAGCCTCTCCGTGGGCTGTGGGGGCCATTTTGTACACAGCGTGCTATCCGGAGGTGCCAGCAGCAGGACATAGTGCAGATATTTAACAGCTCTGTAGCCACAGCGGCTGGCTCCCTGGAGCCATCAGGCTGGCTCTTGCACTGGTCATGTTAGTGCAGTGATGGAGGCACAGCTCCTGGCCGGCCTTGGCTCCAAGCCAGGGCAGAGACCCACAGGGATGAGCGCTAAAGGGTGCAGCCTGTGGGTTGGCTGCGCTTGGGGCAGAGAGCAGCTCTGAGCCCTGTGCCAGGCTGCTGTTCTGCTCCCCAAGCTCCTGCACCCCGGGGGCTGGCTTCCCTGGGGCATCAGGCACTGGTCCCAATGTCCCTTCACTGCAGCAGGCAGGAGGGTGGGGATGAGATGGCCGGAGCGGGGCCCGGCCATGTCATAGGAGTGTTTCCCCCTTAGCCTACAGTGAGATTCAAAGTACATTTACAGCCCAGGTTTGATGGAATTCAGTCCTCTCGGCCTGGCAGTGATTTATCCGCTGCCTCTCGCCTGCTGCGGCTGTGTTTGAGCTCCCTCCCTCGGCTCCTCTCGGCACTGCAGGGAAGAGTGGTGCCCAGCCCTCCGGCAAGAGGCCACCGGCTGCACCACTCCTGCCCACGTGTGCTGTTGTCAGGCCCTCCCAATTAGCTGGAGCCAGAGGCCTGGGGGTCGGGTGCAGCTGCCCTCATTAGCACATGCCCACAAGCCAAACACCGCTCTCAGTGGGATTGGCAGACTCAGGCTCTGGCCTCATCTTCGGCTCTGGGCTGTCACCTACCTGAATTACAGGCCCAGCTATGCAGGGATGGGGGTGCAGGATGGAGAGCTGCCGTGAGCCCCCCTGGGGTCCCTTTGACCTGCAGGGCAGGCTCAGGCGAACTGTGGCAGGGATAGAGCCAGTCCCTGCTGTTCTGCAGCATTGCTCTGGGGGTACACAAATCTGGGGGGGACAGTGGCGTGAGCGTGTCTGGGGCACTCAGCTGTGTGCAGATGCATCCAGCCTGGGCTGGGCAAAGCCGGCAGGCTGGGTGCCGCAGCAGAGCCCGGCCGCCTGCTCTGCCCTGGCCCGGGCCTTGCTGCTACCGTGTGACGGACCCTGTGCAGGGCCTGCCTGGTGCACCAATGGCCTCACAGAGAGGGGGCCGTGGGGCCGCGTGATGGGAGCAAGCAGTGATCAATCCCAGAGCACATTATCTCCCTGCCTGAGACACCGGCTGGATTAACAGCGCTCAATGGCTGTGCTAATGTGGGCAATTCCCAGGAGCTGGAAAGCTCTGACGTGCCCGAGGAGCTGCCCGCCCTGCTCAGGCCTGCGTCGAGCAAGGAGTGGATTAGACCAGACCCTGCTGGGCTCCGCAGTACATGGCACGGCCCCAGCCCCTCCGCTGTCCCCTCACTTTGCCCGTGGTCCGTGCACAGCGCCGGCACGTGAAGCGGCTCCGTGACAGAGCGGGATCTGCACCTCTCCAGGCAGCCGTGGCTGGGCAGGAGCATGGCGTTACCCCTCGATCGCCTGGGATGGGGTATCCCCCCACCCTCCGACCGCGTGCCGCACAGCACACTGGGTGGGCTTCAGCTCCTGCTGGCTCAGTCCTGGAGGAGGGGGGCGAGGGACTGATCTGGGGGCTTCTGGGGCTGCTCTGCTCCCTCTGGATGAGACTAATAGGCAAATTGCCCTCGTGATTAGCCCATGGAGCTGAGCTGAGCCGAGCAGGGGGCTGGCTGGGCAGGAGCAGGGACAGCCGCGGGGGGCGCATCCAGCCCCCGCTGTGAGCCCTGCGTGATCCACCGGCTCCGTCCGCGGGCCGAGCCGCTCTCAGCCTCACGTTTATTTACTCATTTGCTTGCCTTAAAGGGGGGAACAGGTGCGCATTAATTCATCACCGCTGCTCCAATTAAATCATTTTACTTCTAAATGAGCTGCTAATTTGCAGGAGGATTTAATTAGAGCTTCTTCACACCCAGGTGCTCCTTTACTCCTGACGTTCTCACCTGTTTGCCCTCCTAGGGGGTGCTGGTGATTAGCCCCCGCCTGCGCGGCCTTGCTGCACGTCACAGCAATTACCTGAGCGCAGCGATGCCGAGGCTGGGGGCTCTTGGCCTCCCCGGTGCTGCCTGGAGGTTTCCTGTCCTGCGTCCGGGTCAGGCTCCCCCAACCGCGGGCCCGCTGCACCGCGCAATGGGTTGAGGGTTGCCGTCCGACGGGGACGCTGGCCTCGCTGCCCCACAGTTGTAGCCATCGGGGTCTGTCCAGCTGCAGCCGCCCAGGCCATGGGCAGCAAAACTACCTGCAGCCAGATGAGCTCGGGGAGGGCTCTGTGCTGCCGTGTAGATGCACCCGTAGCAGGGCCGGCAGCACTGCCCGGGTAAACCCCTGTTGCCTTCCCTGCACGCGCATCCCTGCAGCCCTTCCTCACAGCCCACAGCTTTGTCACCACATCCCTCCAGCCTGTGCCCCTTGTGCGCCCCTGCCCCGAGACAGCGCGAAGGGAGCGGGGAAAGGGCCCATCAGCCGTGGGCAGAGGGCCGCGCTGGGAGAGGAGCAGCCCTGGCTGCAAAGCCAGCCCAGAGCCATAGGGCTGGCGTCTGCCCCTGCTCCAGGCCGCCGTGTGCTCCCGCTGCCTGCTTGTTATGCTGATAATAGAAGATTACAGGGTTCCCGTCAGAAACATCTATTTACACTCCGCTCCCCAAACCGCCCATTAGCCTCGCTGTGAGGTCGCCACCTCCCTGTGAAATCCCACCAGCCCGGGCCTCCGGGCCTGCCAGTGCCTCGCGCCTGTGGGGTGTGCGGGGTAGGAGTGCCGCGTGCCATGTGCACGGCGAGGGATGGAGCTTCTCCCATTGTCCTGGCACGGGGCAGCGTGAGGAGCAGCTCTGGAAACCAGCTGTGCACGGGCTGAGCAAACAGCAAAACCAGGCTCCCTGCTCCTGCCCTGGCAGTGGCAGCTCTGGCGGCTAGTGGATCTCCCCGCCAGGCTCTGGCACCCCGTCCTTGCAGGAGCCTTGGTGTCCTCGCTCCCCGGGCCCCTGCGAGCCTGAGCAGAGCACGTCTGGGCAGGGCGGGGGTGCTGGGAAGGGCCACGAAAGCTCATCTCGCCCCGGCAGCCGTGCCGCGGTGTGCAGTAACCGCTCTCCTCCCTCTCTCCGCAGTCCATCGACCCCGGGCAGCAGTTCACCTGGGAGAACTCCAACCTGGAAGTGAACAAGCCCAAGAACCGCTATGCCAATGTGATCGCCTACGACCACTCGCGCGTCATCCTGACCTCCATCGACGGTAAGAGAGGGCGCCAGGGTGGTGCCTCCCCCATGCCCATCCCTGCAGGTGCTTCGACGGGGAGCCTCCAACTGCGATGCCCGGGCTGGAGCGTGAGGGCTCCAGAAATGAGGACCACGCTCCCAGCACCCCAGGCTTGCTGCTCCCTGCCCTCCCCTGCTGTGCAGCCTGGCTGGCTTCCAGCCCTCGCCATAAGCAAGTCAGCAGCTCCCAGGCACATCCCTCCCAGCCCTGTGGGTCCTTTCTTGGCCTTTGCACCCCACGTGGCGCAGCCAGATGCGAGGCGCAGCAGCTCCCGGGCGCCCGAGCCACAGCCACTGAGGCATTGCGCCCTCGGCTGCCCTGTTTGCGGCGTCCAGCGCTGTGCGCAGGCAGCTACCGATCTCTTCAGTCGGTGCTGGCATATGGTGCGGGCTGTCGCACCAGCGCCAGCATCCGAGTCTCGTGCAGACACCCGCCCACGCCAGTCTGGGGCACGAGTAGAAGCGCCGCCCGCTCCGGGGACGCAGGGCGAGTGCAGCTGATGATGGGCGGCCCCGTTGGACGGGGGGCTGGCGCTGCACTGGGAACGGAGCCGCCTGTCTGAGGCAAGTGGGCCGCTCGGCCCCAGAGGCACGGCCAGGCTGGCAGGGAAAGGCACGGGAACCATGTGAAGGCCTCTCTTCTCCCCGACTCCACCTGCAGCTGGATGCTGATTTCAGCACCTCCTGCGCTACGGGAAAGCCTGCAATCACAGTGACTCCGTTTCTGTACCCGGCAGCAAAGTGCCTGCCAGATCCCTCCGCCCGCTGTGGCACGAGCCTCCCTGGAGCAGAGCCTCCTTCTCTGCCGGGGAAGCTGGCTCCAGCTGATCGGCCTCAAGGCTCGGGGCTGTGTCAGGCCAGGGTGCCACCCCCCACCTCTGCCCAGGCTTCACTTCCTCGGGCTGCAGGAAACCTGCTGTGAGTTTTGGGGGTCCCGGACCTGCTCCCTGGGGGCACAGGCAGGGTCACAGCTGCCTCTGCTGAGCAGCGCTGTGAATCCAGCCCCAGTTGGATCCTTCCTGCCTTGGCTGTCCTGATGCAGAGCTGCATGTGTCTGCATCTCACGGGCACTTCCCTGGAGGGACTCGCACAAGTGGGGTTGCAGACAGGGGCTACAGGCACCTGGGTGCGTGGAAGGGCTGAAAGGGGGCTGGTGTGCAAGGAAGGCGCTTTTCACGGCACAGGGGAGTGCAACAGGTTGCCTCCATCAGGAACGGGCCAGGGGGATGCTGACGGGGTTCCCCCATCTGCGGGTAGGAGCCACAAGCCAGCGCAAAGCTAATGAAGCCATTGCAGACGCTCGAGCTGCGCCGAGGCCAGAGCTAATAGCCGTTGCATTTAAGACGATTATTGCAAGCTGTTGCTTGGGGCAATGTGAGCTCCTTCGTATTCCTGCCTGGGAACCCCTCTGTGTGTGCACGACAGCAGCTGCGCGGGGCTTTCGTGCTGCCTGATTGTCACGGCAGCCTGTTGGTTACCAGAGGCCCCTTCCCATTTACACATGGTCCCCGACCTTCGCTGGGCTCCTGGGATGGGCTTGGGCAGCATCTCACGGGCTCCAGGTGAGGCAGGGGGTGTCAGGACTACCTCAATCACGCCAACCCACTCCCTGCAAGCCATGCGGCCCGGCGCAGCCTGACACCTCGGTCCTTTGTCTGCACAGGGGTGCCCGGCAGCGACTACATCAACGCCAACTACATCGACGGGTACCGGAAGCAGAACGCCTACATTGCCACGCAGGGGCCCCTGCCGGAGACCCTCAGCGACTTCTGGCGGATGGTGTGGGAGCAGAGGACGGCGACCATAGTCATGATGACCAGGCTGGAGGAGAAGTCCAGGGTACGGGGAGCCGCTCTCTGCTGGGGATGGCACGTGGGGCAGGACAGGGCCACGGGCACAGCTTGGGGCATGAGCAACCTTCTCCTTGACGCTGGAGACGCGTCTCCCCAGTGCTGGCCCTGGGACTCTGGGCAGCGGGCGGGTGGGGAGAGTATCCCTGCAGCCCCGGGGAGGCTGGCGGCATGATGGGGAGACGCTGTGCAGCAGGGGTTGGGGGTCTGCGCAACCACTGGAGCACACCTGGCTTCTCTGCCTCCATCCCCCATGTATGCACGTATGTGTCACCCACCCTGACCCTGCGTACCCACGTGCACAGGGGCACGTCAGCCCACACTGCCCGAGGGGACGCCAGAAGCCGTGAGGTCCTGCACTGTGTGGTGCAGAAGCGCCAGTAAATAGCACAGCTGCCATTGCCCTGCTGCCTGCAGCGTCCCAGGCAGGTACGTGGAGTCACCACGCTAGCTTGTCCCCCATCCAACAACACAGAGCTGCTGAGATCAGACACGCTGGAGGTATCGGCACCCTGGGGCCAAGAGCAGGAGCCGGGTTGCTCTGCGGTCCCTTATGGCAGAGGTTCCCACTTGCCCCCCGCGAGGCGCGAGCACGCGTAGCAAGCGCACGGTGAGCACCGACCAGGCCCATGGGCTCCATGCCGGGAGGCACCGGCCATCTCAGTTTGCTCCTGCAAGTCGTGCAGCAGCGAGCGCGGGGCTGGCAGAATAGTTTCCCGTTGCCATGCCGACGGCAGGGAGAAGGGGCGCATGCGCTCATGCTGCAAAGCACTTGTTATTTTTAGGCGAACGGGCTCACCACAGAGGAGCAGCGCATGCCAGCTCGGAGGGCTTGTGCACAGGGGTCTCCCTCTGTTTGAAGTGCTGATGCACAGGTTGGGAGCCTCATCCCACGCGCCGAAGGGCCTGCGCCAAGAGCTGGGCACGAGGAAGGGGGCTTTGCTTGCAGGCGGTCCAAGGACTTGGGGAGAATCGATCCATGGCTTCCCCAGGGGCACGTCCACACAGCTCCCGTGCACGCTGCCCACAGCGCTGAGCCAGCATCCTCCAGGCTGGCATGGGAGCCAAGCAGGGAACGGCCAGAACCGGGCACCTCTGTGCCCGCTCCACACCCTGCATGGCAAGAGGCAGGCTCCAGAGCAGGGAGGGCTAATGGCCACAAGCCGCCAAGGAAAGCGTGTGGGGCCCTGGAAGTCTTCAGGCTTTGAGGTCGGAGAAGACCATTCTGGACATAGATGCCTCGGCCCTGGGCTCGCGTCCCCATCCATCCATTTGTTAGCAGAAAACTCCCCAGGTGCGTGCCCTTCTGGGACAGCGGGGCTCTCAAGGCCCTGCCGGTGCCCGTGCTTGCCTCGTGCATCACGGCCGCGGCTGCGTCAGCCCTTAGCAACCTCCTGCGACACTGGTCAGTCCTGGGCACGGTGCACAGTGCAGTCCCGGGGCCCGGCTCTCAGCAACAGGCCTCAGGGAGATGAGCCACTTCCGTGGCCGTGTGCAGCCCCCACCCACTGCTCCCAGGGCACAGGCTGGCTGTGGGAAGGAGCGGTCTCTTCTCCCCTTGGTGCCTTTGCTCCTTCCTTCGCCATCCTCTGCCTGTCTTGCTCCCTGCAAAACCCCAGTGTGGACGGTGGCACCAGGGGCCAAGCCCAGTTCCCTGTGCTGGGAACTGCAGCGTCCCAAAACTTCAGCCAGCCCCTGGGGCAGCCCTGGCAGGAGGTCCCCACCAGGCCCTGGCCTGCCAGCCACCTGGCTCCTGTGCTGTGGGGGAGCATCCTTGCTTCAGAGGCCGTGCCCCGAGGGGCGCGCAGCCTCCCCCGGGCTGAGCCCCACCGCTGTGCTCTGGGGAGACAGGCCACTGGGTCGGCAGCTGCTGGGCTTCCCTGGGAGGCAGCAGTGCTTTCAAGGGCTCCCAGGCCCCGTGATGGGGGAAATAAGCTGCAAGGAGAAAAGCATCTTCAAAGAGCATCAGCCTTCCCGGCCGGCAGTTGCAGCCAGCTCAGCGCCCGCCTCGCCTCCCCTTTCAAGTCTGCAGGCGCGTGCAAGGGAAATGGCTGATCCTGGACACTTAGCAGCCTTCAAAGCCTTTGAAGCTTGTGGTGGCAGCTCAGACGTGCACCGGGTGGAGATTGGTGTTTCCCAGTGCTGCACGGGGGCACAGCCCACCCAGGTCAGCTACAGCAGCACCCGGGAGCCCTCCTCGTGCAGGGTCTCTGCCCGTGCCGAGATGTCCTCCTGCCCCTGGGTGCGGGAAGCTCTTAGGGCGGCTGCAGCTTATTGTGCAGGAGACGGTCCAGTGAATACTGGACTGCTGAGCGGGGGCTCGACCACCTGGGTGACAGCAATCATCGCCTGCTGTGATTCACCATCCAGCACAAGGTGGCAAAGGCTGGCAGCAAGGCAGCAGCCCTGGACTTCAACGAGCTAAGGAGAACAGTCAGGGAAGCGCTGAGGTCCCGGAGGGGAGAGAAGTCGGGTGTCCAAGAAGAGTGGTCGCTCCTTAAGGAGACAATCCTCCAAGCCCAAAGGGAGGTAATCCCAACACGGATCAAAGGGGG